AATAAAGTTTAATAACTAATAATAGTTGATTTCTTCTGTAAATAAAGTTTAATAACTAATAATAGTTGATTTCTTCTGTAAATAAAGTTTAATAACTGTTTGGAGTATTTTATTCAATCGAAGATTTGAACCCGTCGCATCGTAAACCGGTTACGACAGCGAGTATTATAACAATACGATATCCTTACATTTTGTTTCTTGAAACTATTTTTTTAAATTTTATGTTGTGTAACAGAGTGCTTTTCAAAGTGGTGGTCCGCAGACCGTGCGGCGAGCTCCCAAAATTTTTTAAAATATTCAAAATAAAAAAAAAATTTGACCAGCAACACAAAAAAAATTTCATTAATTAGTACTAGTGAGATAAGAATAGAAATGAGAGGGCTAGAGCCAGAATGATCTCTGCAACTAATGAAATTCATTGTTCTAAATTGGCGAAATAAGTATATATGTGAGGGTGGTCAGCTGTTTAAAAAAACATGGTTAAAGTGTGAGATAAGTTTGAAAGTGAGCAAGAAATAGTATTAGCATTAGCACCTGAGTGTAAGTTGACGCATTGTTGCATTCAACGGGAAAGTTTAGCGGCGAAAAAAATGTCCGACGGATTGAACAGCGTTCTTAGCGAAGTAGTCAAAATAGTTAATTATATAAAAGCAAATGCTTTAAATTCTAGACTTTTTGCTAAACTATGTGATGAAATGTGAGCTGATCACAAACATCTCCTGCTACATACTGAAGTTCGTTGGTTATCCAGGGGGAAAGTTCTTTTTCGTGTGTTTGAACTGAAAAATGAGCTGACCGAATTTTTTAATGTTAAAAAACCACACTGATTAGAGTTGTTTAAAAATAATTATGGCTGGCAAAATTGGCCTATTTGTCAGACATATTTGCATTGTTAAATGAACTTAATCTTTCAATGCAAGGGAAAAAGACAAATGTTTTCACAATGGCAGATAAAATTGACGGACAGAAAAGAAAATTAAAAACATGGATAAATAGATCAGAAAGAAAATGTTTTGAAATGTTTTTTAATTTAGCTACAGTTATTGAAGAAGCAAGAGATGGGTTTGACGGGTTTGACATAAAAACAATTAAAGCTGCCGTTGTTCAACACTTGACAGGCTTATCTGAACATTTTGAGTTTTATTTTCCTACAAAAGATGATCTGCCGCAATTTGGATAAGCATTAGGCCGGAATACACAGAGCTCACCGAAAAAGCTATAAAAACTCTTCTCCCCTTCCTTTCTACTTATTTGCGCAAAATCGGGTTTTCATGTATGGCTGTGATTAAGACAAAATTCAGAAACTCTTTGGAAGTTTCTTCACCACTACATGTTGCTTTGCCTTTATTTGCCTTGACGTACTCAAAAAGAAAACAAGCTCATTCTTCACACTAATTTTTATTTCATTTTATTTACATTTTGTTTCAAATATCGAAGTAATTGTAATTATTATTTATTTTTAATAAACATTGTAGCCAAAAGATTCCATGCTTCTAAAATTAACAAAGTCAGTAGCATGCCCATTAAAATCTGTACCGGTCCACGGAACAAAAAAGTTTGAAAAGCACTGGTGTAATGTAACACATTATGAATTACTATAACAAAAATAAATATTTTTAATATTTGATAAAAACTGCCTTAATAAAATTAATAGTTAATCAATCAATCTTTGTTTGCATCCAGGGTCCCGGTTTACCGAGGTAGGATGTTGTTTTCTTTGCCATCAACTTTTTGCGCCAAATTAGACGATCAGTTAAATTTAATAGTTAATATGTTGCTAATTTCTTAGGAGAAACGTTTTGCTATTATATTGCTACTAACAACTAACTATACTTATGAATATAAATATAACAATCATCATAAAAATAAATAAATTATGATTTTCTTTTCTACATAAGACAATACTTAACTTTCATTATTGATTATTTCATTTATTGTTGCTGTTTATCTTTTCAGGGTAGGCCAATGCATGTTGTCTTAATAATTAATGTTAATCTTAAATTCTTAATCCTTTTAACTTTATTATACTATTATTAATTATATAGTCAAAAAAAATGAATAATAATTAACTACAAATTCGTCAACCAGAACGAAATAATAGTAATTTGATTTAAATTAAAAATTTATCTCAAAAATAAATAAATGAATAAAAAAACTAAAACATGAAAACAATACAACAAACAATGATTGCGTGCCTCCGTTGTTTTAACTAGAAATACAACTTTGGTTTGTTAAAAAAACGTAACTTAAAATACAAATGCCATACCACCAAAATTCTCTGAAACTTCGTTTATTTATTTATCTTCCTATCGTAATTATTATTAATACTAACTTTACGATGCAATACAAACACAAGCGCTAAATTCGAAACATGTTCTTGAATTTAGCCACGATGTCAATAAAACGCTGCAAGCCTTCCTTATATTCCTTCATGGATATATATATATCCATGTATTCCTTATATTCTTTAGTATTTTCTATGTACATATATAAATATTAATATATATATATATATTTATTCATAAACTTAGGATACACCAAATGCATAAATTCAAATCTATGGGGCATCCTATATCAAAATTCATCTTCGACTTAGATGATTCATTCAATCGGCTTACATTTTTATCATTTTTAAATAATAACTATGAAAAAAACTGCAGGTACGGTCGACCTAAATTGTTCTGGGCTTGACACGCTCTCTTTGTTAAGCCACTGACCGCAACACTTTCTCAAAAGTTTCCAGCAATAAAATATTGCCTGCATCGAAAGCATATGATAGACATCTGAAACTATCGTCAATATTGCTGCCATTGAACTTTGTAAAATGGAAAATTTTTGTTTGTGTTGACAAGTTGTTGGCGAATAACAAATGTTTCAATGGTTTTTATTTCTTCTTTGACCCTATCTCAGAGTTCTTTACCTATTTTTAAGCCATTTCAAATATTTATAAAAGGCCTTGAATATCAATACTTTGACAAATTTTTGATATAAAAATGAACATTTTTTCTAGAGTTTCCTACGCTACAATTTTTTTGTAATTTTTTATTAGTATTTCTCAAAGGTATAAAAAGACATGCAGTATATATAACTAGACTTTATATGACAGATCGAGTAAAATGCTTTTTGAAATCTATTAACAACATTAAGTCGTTTGTCTGACTTGTTTTCATCTATAAGCTTAACATCAGATTTTACTGAATTATGCTTGTGTGTGTAGTACGGTTGTTTTTTCGAGATGGTAAACATACCTAATCATACATTTAGTTAGACTTTTGTAAATTATTAAATTTTTTATATTGCCATTTTTGCAAATTAACCAGAATTAATTTGCACTATTGCTTTGAAATTTTTAGCGTTTTACATGATTTCTACGAATTTAAAAAAATTCTCTAAGTAAATCTGGTTTTCCTGTTCTTATCAGTTCAATTTTTGAAATTTATTCTTATTCTGCGTTATTGCTGTTTTTAGTTATTTTATTGCCAATTTTATTTTTTAATGATTATATTGCTTTTTTCTATATTGACCGTTTTATTACTTTGGCTTGAGAAGAATGTTATACATAAAGCAAAACGCAGAACACGTATGCTTGAACAAATCTGTCAACAGCGAAAAACGGTTTCAACCTCCGTTATTGTCAAAAATGCATTTAAATTTAAGCATAAAGTGTTCGGGATAACAAAAATTACTTTCAATCAATCACCATGGCACAGTTAAAAATCTGAAAATGCATCCTTTAACGAAGTTACAATTACATGGCATTGAAAACAGATGTTAATAGTGACAACAGATAAAGGCTTTGACCATTTAAATATAATTTCTAGGAATGAACATATGCATGTTATTTAGTCATCTTTAAATAAATCATTTTGCTTGGAACCCTTTCTAACACTCATTGTAAAAATTTTTTTAGACATGTTGTTACCGTTTCTCCATAGCTAAATTAATAATTGCTTAAAAACCTCAATGATGCTACTTTCACAGAAACAAGTAATCATAAAAGAGTTATCGAAAAATATACCTTATTCTGGAGTCTGATGTAATGAGGTCGGTTTCGAATCTGCCTTTCATGTCTGGAATTATTGAAAAGATCGTCGTTTTGATTATCTTAACAAAAAAATTTTGATCCAAAGTTTCAGTCGGGGCTTTGACTCATTTTCTCAGACATTTAACATCATGTCTGTTAAATGATGTCTCTAACATCAGACATTTCTGATGCCATTGGTTTAGGCGTTATTAGATTGTTTTAATAAAGCACCCGTCAATTTTGTAGTATCAAATTGACGCTTTGCAATAGTTTAAATAGTATTTGCCAAACAGAACACGGACTATATTTGTCTCTTTTTGTTGTTTATCGGGAATCTGAATTAGTTAAAACAGTTTTAGTTTGGAGTGTTTCGCAAAAAATGTGACAAAATCAATAGCATAATAATAACCTTTTTAATTAAATTTTTTGTCGGAATTGAAAATGTTTGATATAAATTATTTGAACAAAACACAGAATATGATCAACAAATGTTGGTGAATCATTAAAATGTTACACCTAGGTTTTTAATGCTGTCAACAAATCGTAATGAATGAGCACCAATTTTATATTCAAAATTAATGTCAGACTTAATACACCCAAATCATCACACTTTATTTTAGGCAGTTTCACATGACATTTTGCACAAAACATATCCAAGTTGTGTGACCCATTTGTAACATTACTCTACTGTCGCGTCCTGCTATTTATAAGATGAGACGAAAAATTAACTCGAATCGAATTTATTAAAAGTTTTAGTTTTTTTTTTAATTTCTATAATTATTATTTATGGCATTTCAGTTCAATAATTTCATAAATCTTTCTATTTTGTATTAAAATTATTTAAATCAACATTTCTAAGCCAAGCGTAAACAAATGTTTATGCTGCACAACATTATGCAAGTGCCACACACAAGTACGGAAAATAAATTCAAGCACCCCGGCTGAAGTTATTGATTTTTTAGACGCACATAACATGATGGTGTTTTTCCATTTGATGCTAATTTTTGTCGCGGCAAAATGTGAATTAGAATTGCACATTGTTTGCGGACTAAAAAGTTATATAAGGTGTCCTCTCCAGTACAATCCATTGCAAGCTGTCATTGTCTGGAGCAAAAATTTGTCACCCATTAGTAACAGCAGCATTAAAAATCGAGTTTACGTTAACGAAAATGGCTATTTGGTGTTTAATCCTGTCGTTCAGGAGGACACTGACGTGTATTCATGTCTACCTTACCTACCAAATTACGTCAACTTGCAAATAGTAACCATAATATTGAAAGTAGATGGTAATGCAGTGTTTTAAAATAATTGCTTTAAATTATAATTTCATTGTTGTTAATGAACTTTTAATTCAATTACATACAATTTACACGTTAGATATTCCGGAATTTGTGTTGAGACCCTTACCAAAATATCACAAGTATTTTGGAGAATCAGTAACTTTGCCATGTTATGCAACTGGAAATCCACAACCTTTCATATATTGGAGAAAAGTAATTTAACGTTTGTTTTTTGAAACTATTAAAATTCTAATGAATTACTTTGCTTTTAAATTACAAAAGACAGATTCAACATTTCCCTCAACCACAAAAACATTGTTTGACGGCAGCAACCTAACAATAGCACATTTGACTAAAGAGGAAGAAGGCTACTACGAGTGTTATGCCACAAACTTTTACAGCACCATCGTATCGTCCACTTACTTGATTGTCCAAGGTATGGCACAAAATAGTATTGCATTGCAATTATATTTGAAAATTTTTATCAATTTAAATTTTAGAGCAAATTGTAAACCAGCCATACAATGTAAGAAGTGTATCAACTTCTGGTTCAATGACGCTCACCTGGTCACCACCACATATGGAAGATGGCCTCATCTATAACTACAAAGTTTGGTAAGGTGGTTGCGTTGTATTGTTATTACATAATGTATATATTTGTGTACATATAGCATTTATACAATATGAAATTACACGCTTAGTATGAAATGCAACTACCAGTCTGTCATTATTAAAAATTCTGCTGAATTCAGCTAAATAGTTTTTTTAGGTAAAAATTAATAATAATAATATTATTATTAAACTCAATTTTTATACTTATTTCAATTTTTCCTTGTGCCCGAGCATGCGGCAAGCATTGCATATTTCGTATTTAACATTTAAATTAGATTAGATTTCCTTTTATTTTATTTCACTTCATTTTATTTCATGTTTTTTCTGGAATTAAGCCTTCAAAAAATTTCTGCAGACGCTGGCGATGATGATGAAAAAATTTTTGTTTCAGTCTAAAAGAAGCAAGCTTAGGCAACTGGCTGTACTTCACAGATCTACCGGAGTTCACAACCTCATTAACGATATATAACTTGAAACCTTCGGCTGACTATGAAATTGTTATTGCCACAACGAGAAATAATTTAACGGTTTACAGTTCAACATTATACGTGCATACTCAAAGTATGTACCAGTTTATTTCAAAAACTTGTAACAAAGTAAAACTAATGAGTATTATTGAAATTATTTTTTCAGATATGTCACCTCAACAAGCAAAGCGTCTTGAATCAAAAAAAGTAAAATCCGAAAAAAAGAAGGTGGTAGAATAATCAAGAACAATATATACGTATGTATGTATGTATTTATATATATATAATTTTTACAAATCAACTTTCAAAGACGTTATGTTACGAGGTGTATATTGATTATTATTTTTTTTACTTATGATCAAAATCACATCTCAAAAAATGACTTCAATCAAATTCAATTAAAATACAAATGGTGTCAAATGAAATCCCTTTTGAAATGATTTTTAAATCACAATACCGGTGGTTAGACACGTTACATGTTAACAGTTGAGTGCGTTAGGTTTTTGGCTTTTGAATATAAAAAAATGCCTTGAATGCAAATTGATAAAGGCGTTACAGACATGTGTGATATTAATGTTTATAACATTATCGAATATATTGTTGTCGGAGTCAGTCGGAATCAAAGATTTTTGCCGGAGTCGGAATTTTTTGAGGGGCCCGAGTTGAAGTCGGATATTTTTCACCCGACTCCAAAACCCTGGTAATAACGGTAGCGTTCAAAGTCATTGTGTGATGACATTTTTTATTAACCATCTTCAAGTTTGTCGATTGTAGAATTATTGTTTACCAAAGCTCTTGATATGCTAAAAATATCAGAAAAGATAAATAAAAAAGATAATTATAGCAATTATATTACGAATATTGTAAAATATCAGTATATCCAAAAAAAATATTTGTCGTTGTCATCAAAGATAGTCGATGACACTCAATTAATATTTTCGAAACGGTTACTAAATCTGGAATAATATCAACACGTCATGACTATGTATGAGAAAAAACGCAGCCTCTCCAAGCATCGCCTCGTTACAGTAATTGCGTTTCAGAGTTTCGATTTCGCAAACCATTCAAATTGTTGGCAATTGTTTGCCCTTTGATGAAAATTCACCCTTTGATGAAAATTCAGACCATAACGCCTAAGAGCTTACTTGATTAGGAGCAGCATCGTTTAAAATTGAAAATGGTTGCACGCCGCATTTGGTAGGATCTATTACTAGTATTAAAGATGGTTGCATATCGCTAGACACATATACCTTATGAAAAACAGAAGTTTGAAAAATCATTTTTAGAACATCAATACAATTTTTTAAAATTCTCAACACCCTCAGAAGTCGGTTAAAAAATATTCGATTCCAAATCCGACCATTCCAAAAATGTCGACATGAACTTAGCAAAAACCTCCGACGCACGGAACCTTATCGGTTTTGCTTTGCACCCATAAACAAATACTTCATGAATAGTTCCAGAATGTTTTTTATTTCATTCAGTTCAACGCAGTATTATTATTGTTATTTTGTTTATCATTTAGTTTGGGCGAAGGACTTCCATGTCTTTGCTTATTTATTTCTACATTCATGCTTACGTTTACATTTTATTACCATTGGTGCCTTGCATCAACAGGATTTGTAATTTTTTGTGGTTTGTTGACGGCCTTGCCCGTTGTATGAGAAAAATTCAAAGCAACTAAATGTTTTGTAGGTGTCCTTGGAGCGAAGACAGATAGGTAATGAAACAGAATGAAAAAATGATGAGCAGAGGCCGGATCTGCAGAGTTATTAAGAAGACTTAGTTACTTAAAAAGATGCTCAAAACGTGTCGCAAAAGCACTTGCAGTTAATTTGCTTTTTTTATTTTTCTCCCACTATCCTTTTCACTTGTGGATATTGAGCGAATTTGTTTTTCATTGAAGTGATAAGCTAAGAGAACAACGATTTCGAGACGGTAAGGTCAACACTTGAGACAAGTTAAAATGGAACAATTTTTAGTTAGCAATATATTTGAAAACAATGAATATCCTTTACTGTATTTCTGAAACAATTTTTTTGTTCTTTTCTGATATAAAAGGAACTGTTCCTGGTTTGCTGTGTAGTCTTTTGTTGGTCTCCCTGTTTAATAAAATGTTTTTGTTCGAACTTATCTTGTAAATATTTTAATTTATAAATTAATAATTTTTATAATGATGAACTTAGCAAGAATGTTATATAATAGAAAAATATAATGAAATTTTATCATATTTGTTTAGTGAATACGATCTAAAAATTTACAAAGAAACCAGGTTTCGCAACCACGAATGATATATGATACCAATCAAATTTGCGGTAATCGATCAACAGCTACAAATCCATCAAAAATAAAAACACAAAATCTAAAAAAGTGACGGTGTTAAATAAACTGACTTTCTCTTCAGTGAATCGTGAATGATTCTGTGTTCCTGAGCTGCTGTGTACACGTGGCGAGGTACGTGCCGATGTCTCGCTATCCTTTTAACTTGTGGATGTTGGGCAAACTTGTTCTTTAGAGCTTGCGAATAACAAAAAGCTTCTTTTTCCCTCGGCTTTAGCTTTAAATTATCAACGTAGAAACGTTAAAAAGCAGACACTGCACTGGATATTTTGAAAATAGTAACAACCAAACAAGTGATATGTATTGAAAAGGCAACATCACTGACACCAACAACAATGATTGCAATGAAATATGTAGTAACTGACACTGCATCAATATTTACACTTTTTTATATTTTGCCTTCTCGAAGCAAAAGCAAATGCTTATAATGCAAATGAGAAAAAACATTCCTCAAATGAACATAGTTGTCAGCGTTAGCTCATTATCATTTGAATTAACTTTTAAATATTTTCCCCGCAATTGGCCATAACGATATTCAAAACGTGATTTTTTTACCAGTCCGTTAAACATTCAGCCGTTAGATTAGCACTAGCCTGTCATAATTTCCGTGGTTCATGAGAGACAAGAGACAGCATTGTAATAAAAATATGAAGTTTAAAATAAAATGAAATTCACTTCAACTAACCACTCCGAGCTTTTCTGAAGCATTAGCTTTCCAAACCCTGATGACCATATCATCAGAGGCAGAATAAATGAAGCGACTGTCCAGTGACCACTTGACGCAGGAAACCCTCTGCATTCTCTTCGTGTGGTAGACATCTCTGCCGTTTGCCGTTCAAAATTTATGGTAATAAAAATAAGTTTGAACATTTTAAGAAGCAACATTTTTTGAAAATGTAAAAAAAGTAAAACAGTGAAATAAAAAAGAATTGAGGAAAGAAAGGAGCAAGGTGACGAACCTGCTGTGTCCCCCCTTCGACGGAAAGATTCTGATGGTTTTGTCGTAACTGCCTGATACAAACTCTTCACCGGTCGGTGAAAAATCCAAATCCATCACTTTATTTAATCAAATAATGAATTATAATTTTATTAATTATAAAACTATGAAATAATAACTTTGCTTTGAAGCATATAATAAGAATATTGAAAAACCTGCAGAGATGTGATCTTTGTGAATGACCACAGGCACGTTCATTTTCCTCATATCAAATGTGTACAAGCTGCAATGAATTTCGTTACTCTAAATGATAAATTGAAACAACTGGCTGAGACATTATCATCACAAATCATCTTTTTATAGTGAGTTAATTGTGAGCTAACTGCCCAAGTTGCAGTAAAATATCAAACAACCAAAAATTGAAATATGAAAATTAAAATTAAATGCTCAAGTGATTTCAAAAAGTCGTTTTATCGTTTGAACTCAAGCTCCTTATATTTCCAATGAATTATATAAGCCAATTTTTTTTTCTTTACGCAACTCTGACAAAAGTAGAATTGTTACCAAACTCAGCAACATATTAAAACTTTCATATACAAGCAGAGGAATTGCATCAAGGTGTATGATAGTTTTTGATTTGAACACAGAAGATTTGAATCGGTCAGTACGTAGTAACAACGTGGAAAACGGTGTTGGCAAAGCCTAGGTTAAATAAATTTGTTTCCAGATTAATGAGAAGGTTGAAAAAAAATATCAAGTTACTTGTAATCTTCATTGGCTGCGGTGAAAAACAAAGGTTTCAACGGATTCCATACGGCTGCATTGCTGTTCATCTTCATGACAACCTTTAACAACATGTCAATATAAATTAACTAATATTTTTAAACAATTTATTCAAATTTCAATCTCAGTGTTCAAAAATTTAACAAAAGTTAGTGAAAAATTGCGTACTTCAATTAGGCACTCCACATTCAAGTTAATTTTAAAATGTTTAATGTTTGCATCTTAAAAATATCGAATCCACCGTTAATCATTTTTAAAAGTTGCGATTCTGATAATAACAGATATGAGTAGTGAAAGTTTAATTATCATATCTACAAAGGTTGTTAAAAAATGTTATTTGTAATTCAGAAGATTTCAAATAGAACAAAACTTTAGTTTTGTAAGAAAATAAAAAGAATGACTACATATGTACTGCAATTGATATATCTGGATGCTTATTTATATTATATTGATTTGGACCAAATATAACTTTCAAGACAGCCATGATCGTTGTTATCATTGGGAAATGAAAAATTTGATCCATTAAAACAGCCATTGGCCATCAACGTCATCGATTATACCCAAGAAAAGGAATTTTGAACTAACTCGCGATTTAAACTATTTTCCCTTTGAACATTTATAAAACGTAAGCGTTTAATGTTAGAAATTTGAAAAACCAAAATTTAACTGATTGATTTAATTATTTATTACCTTCCTTATGACAAACGGGTGCCTGATGTCAAACAGTGCCACACTTCTGTCCGTCAACGTTGAAAGTAGGTAGTTTGTCTGCGGGAGAACGTGAGTGATTCAAGTCATGGAAAAAATTGAAATATAAGAAAAAATAAAAAGACAAAATAAAATCAAAACTTGATTTAATGAAACAAAAAATATGTAATGCTCTAAGAAAAAACTGTAAAATAACGTAGTCTTAAAATTCGGAGCCATTATTTGCAGATGGGAATGAACTTAAATTTCATTATAAACAATGAATAACATAACAAGTAAATATTGCCTGAAACGACACTGTCAAACAATGTTTCTAGAAGAAGAGAAAGTTTAACTCATTAGGCTGATTCTGATCTACTTTTATGAAATACAGGTGTTTATGAAAGATTAACAAAGTTGACAGATATCAAGCTCTTGTTTTATCTTGACTCAAATCTGAAAAACCTTAATAAATAAAGAATTCACCCATATATACACACCAAATTAAAACGTCTAAGAAAGCAGATAAAAATGATGAAATAACACCAACTTCTGATTGGTTGAATTTAATGGAAACGGAAGTGTTGTTGTCCTTGTACGTTCGTACTGGTTCAACTTTCTCCTCATCCCAGACGTCTATTTGTTGTCCACATGTTGAGAACACGTCCTGCTTTCTGTGGTGATCCATGCCAGTGTATAATGTCTGTGGTGCATAAACGTTATAAGATAAGATTCATAGGATTTATGAAAACTGGGTTTTCACTAAAAGTTTGAGACAAATTCGGTTCAGGTAAATACTTATGACATATTCCATATGCTTTTATATGATTGTGTGAAGAGTCATAGCAAAGGAAAAAGCTTTAAGACTGTATGTAACTTCCTAGGCTGACAAAATATGTTGTTGACAGAATATCAGTCATATGACGGACAGAACAACATACAAATTGTTTAGATTCTTAGTTTCTTTAAAGCCAAACTAAATTACAAAAAATTTAAGTGGACGTATTTAAAAATTTTAATTTAGATTCCGAACTGCTGAGTATCAACTTCAGGTTTGCCCCAAGGACTCGAATCTGACAACCTCAATAAATACAACGTCATTATAATTTTCAAAAATGAAATGAATTCTAACCTTGCCGATGATAGTGACTGCAGGATCATCTGCTTGATTTTCAAAAAGATCTGCCAGCGACCATTGCTTAATGACTTTATCGTCCCCACACTGGATAATGCAATGTTTGTTGAACACTTATTAAAACTTAAAATATGATATATAACATCGTTATCATTAGTCTGCACAGCATTCAATCTATGCACAGCTTTAAAAAAGCTGGATGACTAACCATTCTGACTTGATTAAATTGCAATTGAGAGCAGACATTAACAAGCTGAATTCATTTAGACAATAGATTGGATAAAAAATGAACAAATTATTGTCACTGAATAAAACAACCTGTAAAACAATAAGTAATACACTGCATATAAACTTAGCCAATAAGAGGCTGGCAGTCCTATATCTAAAGATTAAAATTTTATAGGATATAAAAAAAATTAATGATGAACAACTGAAAAAGTTATTCTGTATGAAAAATAGCTTAATACAATCTTGAACAAACCAATGTAGTTTGTTTGATGGCCAGTATTTTTACATTTTAAACAACTATAGAAGTCAAACTCCATCAAAAACCTTTTATTAAAGTAAAAATTAATAATAAATTCATTTTAAATTATTTAAAAATTTGATTAGTAGGTCAAAATGCCAGCCAAATAAATGAAGCACCAACCGATAACATAGTTTCTGATTTTGTATTGAAGCAGATTCCTCTCACAAAACCCACGTGAGCTGTCAGAGATTTCAAACATTTTCTTTCACCAATATTCCAGATTCTAATCTGGGAAACAAATTTCAACCATTAAGTAAAGGCAATATGCTATTAAATTATAAAATTAAATTATGAAATTGTAACTAAATTATAAAATTGTGATTAAATTGTAAATAAACTTGATATGTGTAAGTAAATTGTACCATAAAGCATGGCAGCAAAACAATTTGTAATATTTTAAACTGTATTAAGGATAAAATATTTAAAAAATTTCAAGCAGCAAGAATAAAATTTAAATCCTAAATAATGCGATCTTCTTAGAGCTCTGGTGGGAAGAGTTTATAGAAGAAATCAAAAAGTGCGCTAACTTCACCATCACAGCTACCAGAATATGCAGTTGAAAGATGTTGTGGGTGTTTGGAGAGGCAGCTGATGCCATCTCTGTGTTCGTCAAAGGAACCTAAAAAAGGTTTAGCAAAAACCCTTTCCAATTTGACGGCATTGAGAACTCTGGTATATTCTCGTGTAACTTCAAAAGGATGCAAAGATTGTTTGTAATTCCTGGGAACTGTTTTGAACGATAAAGTTTAATTTGATTTATAGAATCTTTTGATTGAAAATTTTAACCATTCCAAATTTGTGAAATGATTGAAAATTTTGTTAAAAAGGGAGGCCCTAACCCTAACCCTGTTATTTATTGTTATTATTATTCGAAAATTTGTATAGCGCTAATTACAAACAAAATGTTTCTCAAAAGCACTGGCAAAAAAAAAAAAAAAAAAACAGTTGAATTGCTACGATAAACCAAATCTTAAAATCTTATAATGAAAACAAAAATGATTTCAATAATTTCTTGAACAATTTTTCTGTCAGTTCGGGCTGTCTTAGATGACTTGGTAGACTATTCCAAACGGCTGGTCCACATACTGAAAAACCTCTCTCAGCCATTTTCAAGTTGGTTTGGGACACACATAATAAGTTGCTATCATCAGACCTTAAGCAGACATTTTTAAAAGACAGTTGTTTCGGTGCATGCATTTCTTTTAAATAAACTGGCGCCATTCCCTTCATACATTTGAACATGATTGTTGATATTTTGAACAAAATTCTTTTTTGACCATCAACCAGTGCAGTTCTCTGAATATCGGGGTGACAAGGTCAAACTTTTTCGCACCAACCATGATCTTAGCTGCCCGATTCTGAATTGACTGAAGCACAGATAACAATTTTTCAGACAAACCATAAAATAGGCTGTTGCAGTAATCCAGTCTAGAATGAATAAACGAACGCACTAAACTTTGAATAACATCTTTGGTTAAGCTTTTGCGGATTATTTTTAATTTTCGCAGTTGTAGAGTTGCAGTACCAGATAAAAACTTGATGTGTTCAGTCATTGCCAGTCTAGAATCAAAAATGACACCCAAGTTTGTAGCTTTGGGAATGAAGTTTATATCTGAGCCCTCAATGATAACTGAATTAATTTTAATTCTAGACAGCTGTTGCCAAGTTCCAACCAGAAGAATTTGCGTCTTACTTTGATTGAGCTTAAGACGATTATTTGCCATCCATTTCTCGATCTCGACCAAACATTTAACAAAACGATCAACTGCAAGATGAAAGTTGCTATAGGACTCTGTGGCGAATAGCTGAATATCATCTGCAAATGCAAATGTTAACCACTCCATAAGCCATTGATTGTTATCAAAACAGAAATTTACTCATATTTTAACTTTTTTTTATTTAATGTTCACTATTTCAACTATTTGACAAGTAATGATCTAAAAAACTTACCTAATTAAATTATTTTCAATTTGATATAAATAAATAATCAAGTGCTAGATAATTCAAAATGGACGAGTTAATTTATTAAAAGTACATTATGATTGTTTGTAAACATGGACGATAAACATGAACAGAGGAGTACCTATCTCCCGTTTTACCGATTGATCACTATTCAAATTTTTTTTTTCAAATTTTTTGTCCACTATTATTTTTTCGATAAATAAATAATAAATATCTGTTTGTTTATGATCTTATTCAGTTTTAGCACTGTATTTAATTTAGGACCTTAAACTTTAGCACGAGTAGTATTAATTAATTTGGGACTCTAAACTAAAGGATCGCCTGGGCTATGTATTCTCATTCTGTTGGTCGAAGAGTCTGAAGAGCTCCTGGATCAGACATGTGTGGTGGTTCAACAAGCTCCCTCAGTATAAATAACATAATTTATGGTTACCTTTATGAATGTCTTTTTTAGTTTCCCTCAAAGCATCCTCCAAATTACGAGATAACATCTTGACCTTCATATTTCAGTTCGTTTTTAAACTGATTTAACAAAAACGAAATAACGAGTTGGCGATAAATAAAAACAGATAATGCAAGCAAAAGGCTTAGAAAAAAAACTTGTAAAAGTAAATTTATGGAAAGTTAAACAATTTGTCTTTAACCAAAGATATATATAATCCAGAAACCATGAATGTAGATGTAGAACCAATATATCTAGAATATAACATATTATATATATATAACATCACATATATTCTATAAATAAAATGTAAAATAACATCCCCCAATGATACACCACTTCTTGTTTCAAACTATGGAAAATTCACAAACATCCAGTTATTGAAATTTTTTTGGACTAACAGAGCTGAGGGGATAACAAGCTACAACAAAACAACAACACACGTTTAGACGACATTTTCCCCGAGATCGGGGGTTGCCGTTTGGCTACCTATGATGAAACTTCTGTCATCATAAGTAATTTATTTGGCTAATTTTTACGCAGGACGCCCTTCCTTACGCAATCACAGTTATAAGCGGTGGGCCTAGCCTTTGATGATCCAACATCACTCACAAGGCAGTGAGGGTCAGTTTAATGTCATAACCAGGACAATGAGGGGATAACAAGCTAGCTGATGAATATTGTTTTCATTATTTTTTTGGACTGATTGATTTTGTTTGATTCATTATTTTGTTACTTCATCATTAGTCCTGTTAACCATTTGAGTAGTTTAGGGCAGTGTGTCGGAGTCGGATGATAAATAAGGGATGGTGGGGTACGTTGAGACATGGGGTACAGTGAGAAAAATGAAATAATTGTTGAGCGGTACATAATTTTTTCTTTAGAGTTAACCTAATCTGTACTTTAGTAGAACCGGTAGTTAACAATATAATTTTCTGCGATGAAAATCGTGAGTTGCGTTTTTTAATTCTAATTTTTGATTTTTTGGTAGATTTGTAGACATGTTAATATTTGGTTTGAAATGTAATTGTTCAATTATTTGTAATGATACTGTGATCACTCCTACATAAAAGTTTGATGTTTCAATAAGGAATTTGTTAATATAGAAGCCAAATTTTTATTCCAATTTGTTTTGGCACTACGTCGAATAATTATGTCAACGACTGTATGGGTACATTGAGACAACAATGATGGGGCACAGTGAGACATATGGGGTACCTTGAGACAATAACAAAACTGATGTTAAAAAATGATTTCTTAATTAATAGAATAATTATTAAATGATTATATTATTATTATAATAATTGATTTGCAGACAAAAATGAGAAATAGGATAAGAAAAACCAGCAATAGCATGTTTTCGGAAGAAACCATGCGTCGTGCTGTAGGCGAAGTAATGGATGGTGGTTCTTTAAAAAGGTAGCTCATGTTCATGGCTTGTCATTCCAAACATTGGCACGCTATGTCACAAAAGCATCAGCTGCGCATCCTGGAGAAATTGTCAAATTCAAACTAAACTATGCAACTCGGAGAATATTTACAACAGATTAGGAAAAAAATCTGGAAGAATATATCTTGACAAGTTCAAAAATGATGTATGGAATTTCAACAAAAGAGTGTAGAAAAATTGCATACGAGATGACCAAAATTAATGGAATTAGATTTCCAACAACATGGAAAACTGAAGAATGCGCAGGTTTAAAGTGGTTTAGGTTGTTCATGAAGCGGCATCCATCTCTTAGTATAAGAAGCCCTGAAGCATGTAGTCTTTTACGGGCTACATCATTTAACCGGCACAACATTGGTCAATTTTATAAAAATATAGAAAAGATTTTTCTGAAATCACCACAGTTGGCAGATCCTTCTAGGATTTTTAATCTAAATAAAACAGTTCAAAAGCGTTGTTCAAAAGTAGTTGGAGCAAAAGGGATGAAACAAGTTAACCAAGCCACAAGTGCAGAAAAAGGGAGTTTAGTAACCACGTGTTGTATAATCTGTGCTAATGGAACATTTCTTCTGCCTGTGATGGTCTTTCCCCGAGTTCGATTTCAAAAGCGTATGCTGAAAGGTGGTCCGGTTGGGACGCTTGGATTGGCAGGCAAAACTGGTTGGATGACTGCAGAACTTTTTCTGCCCTGTCCATCCGTTTTAGATCATCTGGATCCTACTTATCATATATTTAGTTCAACGTCTAGCTATACTGGACAGCTAGCACCTGTTACATTTTTAACGCCGGAGCAGTTCAAAGGATATCCAAAAGCAGGAAATGGAAAAACAAATAACAAAAAAAAGGAAGAAGTCTCATAGCTACTGACACTCTAGAAAAAGCTCTTCTGGAAGCTAATAATATAAATAAAAGGAAATTAACACCTACATTGAAAGACAAAGTCAAAAAAATTTTTATTAAAGGACTTTACTATAACAGATCCTAAGAAAGTTAACAAAAATAAAAATAGAAGAAATGCACTGTCAACCAATGAAGACCAGACTTCTTATTCAACATGTGGAATCAAGTATTCTGATGATACAAGTAGAACAAATTGGATACAGTGTGAACAGTTCACATGTTTGAAGTGGTATCATAATGCCTGCCAAGGTTAAGAAGATAAAGCACTAAAGTCTTTTACTTGTATTGACTGTGACAATAATTAAATTGATATTATATATGTTTGTCTCAACCAACCCCATATGGTTTCTCAACGTGGACCACTATGGGGCTGGTTGAGACAAAAAAATATGTTTTGCAAAACTCTTATATTTAATTTGGTTATTAAGTATTTAGTGAAATTTTGAAATAAAACATTAGTTCCTTCCTTGACTTGTATGTGGGATATATTTTAAAATAAAAAAATTTCTCCATTTTGCAGCATTTTGCATTTTTTCGTCTCAACGTACCCCACCCCCCCTATCCGACTCCGGCCCCTCAAAAAAGTCCGACTCCAGACTCCAACTCCGTTTTCGGCCCTCAAAAAGTCCAACTCCAAGTAAAAATTTCGTTTCCCGTCTTCGGGTTTCGAATTCCAAAAAAAATTTAAACTTTTATATTTGAATGTCATATTATTATCGCTATTAAATAAAAAATACTTTAAAAACACTTAAAATCGGTCAATGCAAATGTTTTCCATGGTAAATATTGTTATAATTTTAGGTTTTAAAATATGCTGAATAAATTGTTCAACTTTTGCATCTTTATTTCACCTTATTGTCACTACCGAATAACAAATACTTCAAAAAAACAGTTAAAATCAGTCAATGTAATTGTTTTTCTTGATAAAATTACTTTATTTTTATGTTTTACAACAAACTGAAAAAATGTGTGGTTTTTTCACATTATTAGCATTTATTTTCAGTATTAAAAATGACTGCTTATTACTACGTTTTTCCCTTTTAAAAAACGTAAATAAAATATTCAGAAAAAAAATATTTCAAAAATAAAAAATTTTCTGTAATTGGAGTCGGATAAAAAAAAATCCGACTTGGGCAAAAATCTCAGACTTCTACACTCTGGTTTATGGTGCTTGCTGTTTAAATGTTCCCAATAGTTTTATTTGGCTTTATTCAATGAATATTCGCATTTTTTTTTCTATTCAATTGCCATTTTTTGGATTTTTGTTGATTCAACGCCAAGTATTCCAAAAATTGCCTAATATGCTAGGAAGACACGACTGGTTAAATAAATATATATTGTATTGATGTAATTATAAATTATGGTTGTGTATAATGAAGGAAAGTTAATGAAGCAAGATTGATTAAAACAATTGTAGTTTTATATAGATCGAATTATAATTAATTAATTATTAATTAATTATTGAGATAATAGTGATATCGAGACATTGGTTGTCGGTTGCCGTGTTTTATTAAAAAAATCGAGTGCGAACACTTGTTTCCCGAATATTAAAGTAAAAGTCATTTTTTTATTAGTTAACGTTGATTTTTTGAAGAAAGTGTTATCAATGAAATATTGGTTGAATTATAGTGCTAAAATATACTAAATCGACAGTGAATTTATTATTATTACTACCGCTACTATCATTATTATTATTAAATGATGAACACTAACTGGACTGCTTCACAAGCTTCTCGAAAAGTCTTCTTGCATCTCCCACACAACATGCGAACAGTTTGTGTCGTGTAAAAATTAGGTTCGCTAAAATGAAGCAGGATAAATTTCCACTCCCAGGAGCACGATGTAAGTGGTAGTCGTTAAAATGAGAATTGATTTGGAAGTTGTAATATAGAATCGTCCTTTTCCAAAACTCACGACATGTGTATGTGTAACAAAACAGTTATTAAAAATTATAGGTACTGTTGACCGTTAAAATAAAAACTTTGAAATAAAAAATTTTTGACTTAATGTTATTTTTAAATGTTTCAATTTTGCAAACAAATTTCATACGATATCAAAAGTTTTCTATATGTATTTTTTTACGCACTTTTACAAAGTTTTTTCTTACGATATATTGGATTTGAGTAACACGACAAATGATGGTTACGTTAATATTTGATGCTTAGCTTGGTTGCGTTTTGTACTTATTTGTATTATTTAATAGAATAACAAACTAATACTTTATAAAAAAATTGCTTTTTCGTCAAACCAAAATATATCTATATATATATAACATATAATGTATAAAACAAATGTTGTGTGGAGGCGCGTTCGCTGGCAATTTGATATGCAGGAGCACGTTATCGTGACATACGACTGTATGTAAAGCATGTCGCCTCAATCAATTAGACCCGATTTTCAAATATTTCCAAATTAGGTGCGTTTTAGGCTCGTGTTTTAGAACGTCGTTTTTAACGTTTCTAAATTAACTAAATTAAAACAAATTCTAACGAAAGTGAGTATATAAAAGCCAGCTCAGTCCACTATTTCTCAAGCTTAACTCAAATCAGTATATTGTCTGTTTGCAAATTAACTTTTTCAAATAATGAAACACATTCTAAAATTTATATGGACGATTTTTTTGGTCGCAACATTCGGTGTTATTGTCAATGGTATAGATGTTTCAGACGGCAAAGAAGTGTGGTACAACCGGCAAAACAAGGATGATTTCGAGAGTTTGCCACATGTTCAACACTTATATCAAAGACAGAACAGAGCTCCTTCCGGGTCACTTTCAGTTGTTCAAGATATCAACGCCATCGCCAACATGCTCGACAGCATGAACCGCCAGCAAAAGTTACGAGAAGCTTGGAATTATTATCAGAGACAGATGAAATAATGTGCTGATGCGTATAGAAGAAAACAGTAAATTGCAAAACATAACTGTTTTGAAAGATAAAAATCTTTTAATAATTAGATTTTTTGAGATTTTTTTAAAATTGTGAAAAATTGTGTTCCATTCAGATAAAAATCAAAACTGTGTGATTACAATTGTAATATTTTTTTAAATATTAAAATTTTTCGAATCGGTTAAAAAATTGTATTGAATTGAATAAGTGTACTTTTGTTTTTAATGTAACAAGAAAATATTAGTAACAAATAGAATCTTCATTATAGGTTTAGCAGAATTGGTTTGAAACACCGAACTTTGTTTCATTACGTAAATTCGTAACATAAAATTTTTTAACTTATTTCTAGCATCGTCAACTCACAACACAGAGTATATTTTTATATATATCGACTGCGATCTTTGAAATCGCGTTAATTACTTGAGTATAAAAATTTTTCGAAAGTGAATACGAAATAACGTTAAGGCTTCTGGCTTATAAATTCTGCTTGTAGAAACTAAAAGCTGATCAAAGCCTCGCGATCAAACGCTCCCCGTCAAACATTTTAATTTTTATATTAGAAAAACACAGGCACACATGTCAAGACAAGACAAGATGTCGAAAAAAATGACTTTCCGAAACTTAAATAATTTTGAAAATGTTAAAATAATTTGTTGTTTTATTTTATACTCAATTCATGTAAAGTTTTTTCTATATATTACTTAACCATATACATTGAGTCATCTATGGGCTGGTGCCTATATAACCGCATTGTTGTAAGTTGCAAGCACATGAAGATAATTAAAAAGCGATTTAGTATCTTCTGATTCGATATTTGATCAAAGCATTGTGATCTGTTAGATATGTTAGTGTGTATGGTTAAAGTTATAAACGATACTCATTTTTTAGCAGTAATTATTTAAAATGTATTTAAGTTAAAAATAAAAAATTAATATGGGTTTGTTTATTGATTTTCTGATACGCCACTACGGATGTCAATATGTTTAATTAACGGTTAACCAACGATGTGGTGAATTGCAATCACAAGTGATGCTAGACCGCAAACCCAGAAGCCAGTCCACCACAAAGAAGAACGATGACCATAATACTTCGTTATTGACAAGAAAGAGCCAAAGGAAATGGCGGTCATAGATCGTCTCTAACCTGCATAAACACCAGCCAGCATCATCCCCGTCGTCACCGGTGCCAATGACTACGCAACTTCAACAGCATCTACATTTTCAACAAAACCAGCCACGTGTAATTTGCGATAAATCGTGTTCTGCTAAAAAATTGTTTGTCAGTTTGATTTATCTCCTTAAAAACAATTAGTTTGTCTTCTTCTTTTGCTATGTTTTTTATACTTTATTTTATTTCAAGTTTTAAAATTTACACATCCAATGTAAAGTAAACCAATATCCCTGATTGAATTTGTAATCTTATTTAGTGGTAACTGCAAAAATATAATTTTTTCTTTCAATATTCATTCGAATAAACCAAAAAATGATCGGTAATTTAGTTCTTTCGAGTTATCACGTGTTGAGACAATGCTTTGATCGTATTCTAAAAAACACAGTGCACCCTATACTGTGTAAAAAAAATTGCGCTTTGTATCATATACGACTGAAGGTAGATATGCATAATAGTTTATTTAACGATTCGGCTTGGTTTAATTCTGGCTGTGCATTTTATCTCACCCAATCACCATTTTTATTGTTTTATTGTGTTTTAATGAAATAATTCTGATTTAATTTCATATTATTAACATTTATATTAAACTTTGTTTAATTTTATTTTTTCGAAATTCCATTCTGAGATATACAAATACACAAAAATTTTCATAACAAACTCAGATGAATATCCGTGTGTCCGTGCATGTATGCAATATTTAATAGTTAAATGGACTTACACTCTTCTGAAATCCAAAGGCATCACCAACAACAAAACACATAGAGCGTATATGAATACGAGCTAAACAACGCATCACGAAGCATGGGATTTGATCCGTATCCGGTCACTGCACACACTGCGAAACAGAACAAGCGATTTTGAAAGATAGATCATCACGTCGCCCATAGTGCATCCAACACAAGTGTGTAAAACATTTACCTAAATTCAGGTGTATCTTGTACTGTGTCCATATGTTTATTAGCGTATCTACATAATTATGTCATGAATGTACAATAGGTATATATTGTTACAGACGTGAAGCCGAGATAAGAACTAGTAGTTAGAAATTGCGTGATACGCTTGCAAATTAAAACGGTTGTAAAAGTCACATGACACGGCATGTGACACACTTACTAGCGGATCGGTAGCTATATAAAGAACGCCAAGAGGACACGAGACAGAACGGAGAGACGAGAGAGACGGAGACAAAACACGAGGAGTACAGGTAAGAGGAAGACGGAACGACAGTTGACGTTAAAGTCGTAAATGTGATTCACGTGGTTATTTAGATTAATTTATTGTTTTTATTACTGATGGTGTTAAACAAACGTTCAGTTTAGTTTGCGTTTAAAGTAGTTGTGTTCATCTTGGGCGGCGCGATGGTGTAATGGTTAAGGTGCTTGGCATTGTTGATGCAGTGTCCGGGTTCGAATGCAAAAAAGATCCCCGCCTATCACATGCAAAAGTGTGTGATGCGTTGATTCACGTGCATTTATGCACCGTGTGTTTGTTGTAATGATGATAATGCGCCTCAGTCGCTTGCCATGGCGCTATATATTGACATTATTATTATTATCGGAAATCTTGAACCTACGGATAAACAAACTCTTGACAATCGTTGGAAGCTACAACACGGTATTGGAAATATAGCGAGTATTGAAGCTATAACATCGGTGTTGGTAGTTACGAGGTCGAAGAGGTTACGACACTGGTGTTAGAAGTGATGACAGAGGTAAGATTTTGATAGCTGGAAGCTCACTGCAGTAAAAAATACCAGGACTAGAGAACTCAAACTTAATTACTGACAAATAGTAGTATCCCGTGATTTTCCTGTTGATTAGTTATTGTGCTGTATTCTAACGATTCTAACGATTGAATAAACGAGTGATTAATCACAGCCAAACACACAAGTGATTGCCAGCACTATTTTCTTTCTAATAAAGTCATCTGAAATAAGTCCGTTCAGGAGTCAATAATCCACCTAGAGAGAAAAAAGTTCAAGGGGTCGGTTATAACAATATGTTGTATACAGTGGAGGAGGGGTGAGAGTTAGCCCCGTTGTGAGCAGTAGTTGTAAAAAGTCAGTAAAAGTCATTGTTTTCACGGAAAAAATACTGTTTTTGACAAAAAATACTGTTTTTGACACAAAACTTTGGAAGCAAAAAATTTCACTGAAACAATAATTAGGAGTTTTTCCAGAAACTAATTTTTTTCTGTAATTTTAATTAGTACAAAAAGGCATATAAAAGCGGTATAGACCAATCTCGCTTGACACAATATTAGATAATTGTTATAAAATGATCAGTCGCTAGAAAGATTTACAACCTATTTAACTAAATTTGGAACTTTAACAAATCAACAGTAAAAAGGAAAAAATTAAAAAAAGTTCATTTAACAATGTTATAAAGAGAATGGTTTAATAATTATCGTTTCCATGGTTTGTTTTTTTTATCTTAACATTGTAAAATTCAACGTTTTATTTTGTTGAAGGACATTAATCTGTCGTTAGGGTAGATAGCAGATAGCACAGATAACACTTGTACTTAACTTAATGGTTGATAAATAAGAGTTAGGCTTGTGCATCAACAATGAAATTGTCATTTTTCATATTTAAAATTTTGGTTTATCAGATAGGTTGTTTTATGTTTGTCACATTTCCTAACGTTTTCTAAGGCTGCATGAGTTGAAATTGATCTGCTACGTCCATCGTATAAATATTAGTCGGCACAATCGACATTAAGTTTTAAACTCCGTATTTGATGGTATAAAAAGTCTTTAAAATCATCTTTCATTAACCAGCACTATGAGTCACGTGATATGATTGTCTGCACGGATGCAGATAATTCAAACGTTAACGCCATGCTGTGCATACGTAATTTGAAGTTATGGCAAAAATGATTTTTTAATTTACAGTTCTGCAATTTATCGAAAGATTTTAAATATTATTAAATATTCTAATCTTAATAAGAGAGTTAAGCTTTCAAAAACCGCCGATCACCAAGTTAGCTCAGTTGGTAGGAGTGCTATGTCTCGCGCTGCTATTACTTGATGGCATACTGTCTGTCCGAAACCCAAAGTCCATCATTCGCGTATGATGGTGCCGGTGCTTAATTGGAGACCTAAAGTTTGATTAAATGTAAAAAATATGATAACATCTAAACAGCTCTCCGTTTGCCATTACAAACTATTTAGAATCATGAACAATTTATATGTCATTCTCATACATACATTCATTGTAAGTGGTGTAAAGAACTAGCAAAACATAATGCATTCAAATGGTTACCAAAATAAAAAAAAGTGAACATGGCGAAGCCAAAAGGTTTCCAGATAAAAGTTTAAGTTAAGTTCCATGTTAAAAAATTATTTTTAGAATTTTTCAAAAGTACCAACATATGAAATCGGCGCTTGTAAACCCGCGTTAACCAACAAATTTCGTACAATACATGTGATAGGATGGAATTTCTGCATTCGAACCCAGTCACAACAACAGGACTACCAGGCTCTTTACCCTTACAATTTTGCGCCGCCAATTTTTTCATTTTTAAGTAATTAAATGTTTTTGAGTTTTTCCATATTTCAATTACAATTTTGTTTTCAAAACTTTTCCTGTTTTTTTCATCGTCTTTCCATACTCGTTAGCGTTCTCGTTCACGCACGATCGTTGGCAACGTTAGAAGCCTGTTAGTAGACTTAATGTTACGCCGCCAATTTTAATAAGCGGAGATTAATTTGAAGATTATTACGATGGCTTCCTTGTCACTAGGTCATTTTTTACCGATTTTATTTCGTTTAATTTAATTTTTACAGTTTTCATGAAGTAGAATTAAATAGTTAAATCGGAGATCTGCCTAGAGCTCTAGAGACCCTCGAGAGCGCCTGTAGTGTTGTAGGGTCATCATCAGCATCATTGTATTTTGTAATGTAATGTATTTTTAAAAATTTAAATGAAATTTAAAAAATAAGAATAAATATATAAATAAATGTTATCTATGTGAATGTTTTGCTTATTGGTTGTTGCATACCTGAACTCTATTTTAAATTTTTGAAACTAGTTCTATCTAACTATTAAACTAAACTAAAATAAATTTAAATTTTAAATAAAGTAAATTAATAAAAATGCTAACCTAATCTAATCTATCAACTAACTAAATTAAACTAACCTAAATTATTGGATCATATTAAATTTATTCCTTAATTACTAGACTAATTATTTATTAATTAGAGAATTAGGTTGTGACTTAATTATAATATGATTGATTTTTTTCTGTCTAGAAGTTTATAAGTTAGTTTTAGAGTTTATTTTTGTTAGATGTTAGAAAGGTTTTAGTTGAGGGATAGTTTGACACAATAGTTGACTTGACAGTAGGGTCAAGATAGACAGAGCTTTTTTAATAGTGGAAAGAAAAAATATTTGAAGATGTGGAAGATTAGAAAATTGGCTGAAGAAAAAATTCCCATGTTACATAATATATCTCTACAATGCTCTCACATATTCATACTACTCAAATTGTGATCATCTGGGTTAACGGTCCTAAATCTCATATCCAATTTATTAAAAAAAACTTTAAAACAATACATACAAATCTTGCTAGGACTAAGAAGATTTGATAAAGCAAGCAATCTTTTCGAGATAACAAATATAATATGAATGGCTCAATTATACCAATGTTGTCAGCCATTAATAGCTATTATTTTGAGTTTTAATGACATTAAAAATAACGAAGCAATCAGGAAGGGTCTTAAGAATCTATTAATATTTTTATCTGTCTATTTCTTGTGCAACATTATGTTTTAATAGCCCATTTATTGATATTTCAAAACTTTTTAATAAATTGCCAAAGAAAATGAAATCATTTGATAACCTATGATACTTCAAGAAATGAATTTTATTTTTTATAACAATTTATAAATTTATGTTTTTAATTAAAAGATATTAACTATTTAAAGCAACTTTTTATTTATGAATTTACATCAATTATTTTCTATTATTTATTATTAATCAATTTAAGTTTAATTTTATAGTTTTTAACACTTGATACTTTTCATTTTGTTCATTGGTTTCATAAGATCACTATGCTTCAGCTTTTGGTTAAATAAAATTGAATTGTAAAGTTTAACAAATTGTTTAAGAAATGTTGAGTGGGTAAGTTTTATTTGGTAAGGAGAAAAGGAGTTTTGTGACATTTCTTTGGATTCATTTTGATGAGGTATTCATTAAATTAAAATTTACAGGGTGCATGTGGAGCACGTACAAAGAATTGTTCAATGTAGTTGATCTTGCGATAAACAGTAAGAACATATTATCAGTGCAGGATCTTAACAACACACTAATGTCACATCTGTCTGATTTTCTGGACCTTCTAAAAAATCCAGTATTTTACTATTTAGATTTGTTTTGTTAACATTTTACTAATTGTTTTTTATTTGTTAATTGTATTTTTTTCAAACACCATCATTTGTCATTTTTTCGATGTTCCCTGCAATATATTAATATTTTAATTTCATGATCTTGAGTTAACAAGGCATTTTAAAAGTTTCCGGCTATTTGTTTCATGAATCTTGTATATTATAATTATATTTCTGAAGACTTATAAATAGAGGATGAACTATTTGAAATAACTAGCTGTAAAATCAACTGGCTATTGAAATGTGGCTTGCAGGTACTGCAATCTACCTAGAGCTATTTCCACTGGAATCTTGTAAAGTTAGATATCGATGTCAATGATTTAAAGAACTTCAGCAATAATATTTTCAGGGTCTAGCTTTGTCTAACAAATTGTTTCTTTTTAAAATCGTGAAACTATAGCAAAACGGCTTCTATTTACTTGAAAATTGATGCCATCTTATCAGTTTGACTATAGGCTTTATAATTTCACATTCAGAGCTTTGAGACAGGTTGCGTTGAGGTTGCTTAGGGTTTTTATGTTCAAACATGTCATGATGGTTAGCTCCATTTGATATAGGATACACTCCTGTTAAAGTTTTTCAGCACTTCAAGTTTTACATTTCACTTGTTGTACACTACAAATATTTTTCTATAATTGTAGTAAAAATTAAACAGCTAATTACTGAGACCAATATTGCTCATATGATATTTGTTTGATGTCTTCTAGATTGTTAGCAGTTGTGATTATATGACTTTTGCCTATGCCAATAATTTCCAGTGTCATCTATCTTGACAGATGATGTAACTAACCATAGCAGAAATTTTAATATATTTCACAATTTGCTGATTAACATTTTTACTCTTTTCATTTGAGGCCAAGAGCACTACAGATAGAAATGCAGTAATTTCTGCAAGCAACCAGGGCTTACATATAGATGGCCAATCCACGACACAAATTCTCACTGCTGACATGATTGCTGAGGTCCTTACAATCAGTGAGTTGTTTGATCTTAATGAGGTGGCTGCAGTGGACCTCTTGCTTACTGGTTAGTTTTCATTTTATGTCATCAACATTTATTTATCTCTCAGTTTTAAAAAATTTTTTTACCAATGGCTGGCTAGTTTATTTTAATTTCTTATAATATTTGTATCAGCGAGAGTTATACTTAAAAAAAAAGCTGTATATAATTTTCAACTTTAGGAATGAATCAACAGTCATATTTTCCGAGTTTGCCTCATGGACTCATAGCAGTTTTGTTGTATTTTGATGGGAAAGCTGCCCTGGCTCTCTGCTTGAAGATGTTGATGCAAGCAAGAGAGGGGAGGACGTGGCTAGCAACCAATTTGACCTCTGAACTCAGTGCAGTCATTCATGAATTTAGTAAACAAATCATCAACAACAGATTGGTTTCCCAAATATTGAGTATGATTACTGCAATTTTTTCAAATTAAATTTTATTTATTTTGTTACGTAAAAATAGTAATTGTTTCATAATATTAATTCATATGTAAACAAATCAGAACTTTTTTGCTTTTTGTTGTCAGTTTAGACTTATTGGATTAGGTCGTAAAGCATGTATTTTGCAATTAAATTTTAATGTCATTACCAGTAAAAAAACGTGTGTGACAAAGGAAAAGAATATTTGAATTGATGAGATGAAAATGTTGGAAAATAGATGTTCCATACTGAGTAATTAGTCATTGTTTGGATATAAACACACTGTTTTAGCATTTTGAAGCTGACACATTATTTATCATATTCATATCCATCTAACTGTTTAGCCCTTTTGGCGAAATTCAATGAAGTAGACTTATTGCCTCGACTACAACTTCCCGAATTCAGAGCCATTGGTCCTCCAAAGCATAAACATCAGGTTGAAACTACTACACTGTCATTTTATTTCAAGTCGAATTATTTACTTATTTTTTCTGCAATATTAAATAATATTAAAATTGTAAAATTGAATTAAAATTGTTACAGTTAAATATTAGTAATTCGTTCCTATCGTCATTATTATTGTTTAATGACAAATCACCTGCATTTTGAGGTACCACTACCTTTGAAACTACATGTGCTTCCAGTTTTTCATCATCGCTAAATGCTTTGCTACTCTCTCCAACCACTTTTACCAACAGCCTGGTATATGTGTCTAATAAAAACTGTGGCTCTAGGTTTGCCAGTTTACAGTTAGTTAGTTCTCTGTTCAACTATCTGCAAGTACAGTTAGTTTTTCTGGAATATCTACTAGAAGTACCTACTAAATTCAAAAATAAAAATTCAATTACAAATACATGATTTTATGTATATCCAAAGCCGGTTCGTGTTTTGTAACAATACTCTCAGGCAATCTTTTTTTTTCCAGCTTGAAGGTTTTATACTTTTCTATGCAGCCTTATCCATTTGGCACATCTAATCACATTTGCTAACTCACGAGTTCCGGTTCATTTCTTTAGGGTTTTGTCGTTCAGGTCATTAGTCCTGTCCGTTTATTATATCTTTCATTGTAAACGGACACGACAGTAAATGGACAGGACAAAGCAGAATAAAAGGACTTTGCGCACACAAAGAATTGTAAAACTGTGAAAAATCTAAATAGGACCTAAACGCTTCATCATGAACACCAATGATTTTATAATAATAATAAAACTACTGTTAGAAATATTGAAAAGCTCAATCGTAAACTTTCTAAAGCTAAAACTCGCTTTAATAAATTAATTTGATGAATATATAAATATATATAAGTATATTTATATATATATATGTATATTATTTTCGTTTTCTGTTTTTCGACTATACCTTTTAGCTCTCTTGCATTTTTCGTCAAACCATGGAGCAGTAACATCACATCTATATTCATCAATATGAAGAGGTGCAATTTTGTCAGCAAGTTTTTTAAGTTTATCATTTAAATTTTCAAATTCAACATCAATATCATTACTTTGACATTACTTTGATATTAACATGTGTACAGACTATTAAATCAAATATGCCACCAAGATTATTAGTTGGCTCATTGACGAAATTTTTCAAATTAAATGACTCGAAAATCTCTAGTAAATAAATCGCATAGCGATCATCTGGTTTTTTAACATGAATGTTAAAATCACCAACTAGTAGGATATTTGAGCATAAAATTGTTATATTTTCTAGCAAACAAAACAGTTCTTCGAAAAACAAAGAGTTCACATTTGCTGAACCTCGCCTATAAAAGGCCAATAAAATAATTCTCAGAAAATCAATGTATCTATAACTTGGTGGCATTGATAACTTCGCTGAAATATTATCTGATCCGTGCCAGGTTTCAACCAAAACAAAAATGTCCAATCCATCTTGAATCAACTGGTAAACAACATCAGATTTTAAAATAATTAATCTTATATTCAAAATAAAATTTTTTTTTTGTGTGTGACTGCCTGCTCATTTCATTCTTCAATTTGTCTACTTCAGTTCGAAAACAGTATCTGTAATATCATTTTCATTCAATTTGTTTTTATTTGAACCTATAACCATTTTTATAATTTTATTTTCTGTTTTAACGTCCAAATTCAATTTGTTCAACTCATCCAATTTTTTCACTATTTCTTTTTTGTCCAAATCAACAGATTTTGTCAACAAACAAATAACAGGTAATATTTCCAAACATCGGTCACAAAACCATTTCAAATTTTTGTTCTTTTTCAATATTTCAACAACGTTTTCATTCTCGTTACTGGATAAAAATTTAGAATGTACTGCGCGTTTACAACAACTACACTAAAACGTATTTCTAGTGCCTTGAATAGGATTCATACACTTCAGACAGGTGTTATTAGGAGACATTGTAATTACTAAATGTACTTTACGCTTAAAACAAAATCACGTGAAATCAAAATTTCTATCAAAAATTTGAACAAATTCAACTGAAAATCAAAATTTTAAAACAAAACAACGCTAAACTGTTCTTCAGAATTTTAGAAAATTAAATATCCAATTTATTGACAAAATAATTTAATTAAACTGAACAAAATAAACATCTATCAACTGCAAAATAATTTCCAATATATATATATATATATATATATATATATATATATATATATATATATATATATATTCAAATTCAAAAAATGTTTTATTCAGCCAAAGCAGGAGACCCGAAGTTTAACTTGTTGGGCCACCTAAACAGAAATAAAAATTAACAGGATAATAGAAATATAAATTAATTTATGAAAAATGATGATCATGTGTGAGTTTAACAATATTATTTTTAAAAATACCTAAAAAAAGAATTTTTAACAGCAATAGGTAAACTGTCCCAAAGGTGAATAGAATCAGGTAAAACCGAGTTTATAAAAAAGTTTGTTCTTGGTTTAAACAAACAAAAATCAAGATTATTTCGTAATGTTTTAACGTGAGGATTTTGCAATAATATAAGAAGATTATATAAAGAATTGCAATAATTTAATTTAAACAACTTAAAGAATAGAAGTTATGAACAGATAATATGTAATGGATTTAAATTAAGAATGTTAGCTAGAGAGTAAAAGTTACTTTAGGACCAAATAAAATGAAACATGTTTTATCAAGATTAATTCTCAAGTTATTAGAAGTACTCAGTCATAAATAAAGGTTAACTCATAATTAATAATAGAAATCAAAATATTAAGATCAAAATGCGAAAAAAGCAGAGTAGTGTCATCAGCAAACAATATAAATTTTAAGATATTGAAATAATTAACAAAATCATTAATAAATAAATTAAATAACAGTGGTCCCAAGATAGAGCCCTGGGGAACACCAAAAATTATTGGAGCGTGCTCAGAGACCGAATTATTAATAGATACATATTGATAAGATTGAAACCAATTGTAAGCAATACCTCTTATGCCATAAACGTACAATTTATTCAATAAGCTAGTGTGATCTATAGATTCAAAGACTTTACAGAGGTCAAGAAAAACACCTATTGACAATTTTTTAGATTCCAGAGACTCAGAAACGTACTTAACTAGGTCAACTATAACAAATTCTGTTGATAGTCTGGTTCGAAAACCATACTGGTTATGACATAAAATGTTATTAGAATTTAGGAAATTAGAGAGTCTTTTAGAAATTATTTTGTCTATGAGTTTAGATAAGCTAGAAATAATGGAAATGAGTCTATAATTATTAATAGAATGCCTATCACCAGATTTAAATAAGGGTATTACTTTTGAAATTTTCAAGCATTTAGGAAAGTGACAATTATTAAAAGATAAATTTATTATGTGAAGAAGAGGAATAATTAAATTAGAAATAGTTTTTTTCAGTAAAAAATTAGAAATAAGGTCTTCCCCAGAACTAAAGGAATTTTTAAGACAGTTAACAGCATCAGTAATTTCAAACATAGAGCAATCAAACAAGACAAAACTATTCAAAATATTAACAGTAAGATATTTTTCTATAATGATTAACAATGTCCAATGAGTTATTAGGTTGACTACATTTATATAGATTGACAAAGTGATTATTAAAATAATTACATAAGTGAGAATCATCCTTAACTAATTGATAGTCAACTACGATATTATAAGATTAAATGCATTTAACACCCATACATGTTTTTAATAAATCCCCGGTACATTTAATGTTAGAGTTATATTTAGTGAATTGATCATGATAATATAATTTTTCAGAGATTCTACAAAGTTCAACAAATAAATTTTTATATGATATATATGACAATCGATCGTAGACTGATTTTGATCTCAAAAATTTTTTGTAGAGTTTATTTTTTGTTGCAGAAGAAATAATTAAACCTTTGGTGATCCAAGGTTGTTTTTTATGAGTTGATTTTCGATTTGATACAGCCTTTGATTTATTTGTTGATATATTTAAAAGTGCTGTTCTGGACTAGCCAATAAAGAAATCTGACACCTAATTTCCATCTAAGTCCATTTTAACAAAGTTAATATTTCCCTATATAAATCAACTTGCACTGATGATGATTCATTCGGAATCGAAATATGGCCTTATTTGCAGCATGAATTCGGAAAATTTTTATTTTGAATTTTAATAAACTAAACGTTCTCCAAAAAACGTTAGTGAGAAAAATCGAGTAAACGAACTACAAACATATTAATGCCAAACATTTGGTAGAATTTATAGAATATTGTAAAAATATATATATATACATATATATGTACGTCAGATCTCATTTGAAACATCATCCTACTATCAAATACCCAAGATTCTTCACAGCCATATATTTTCAGCTGCTTTCAATTCCTCCCCCATGATTTTGGCGCCATACAATAGAATCGATAGCACACTCACTTTCAGGACTTTCATCTTCAATGCCTTTTCAACTTTTTTTCTTGTGTAGTTTTTGAAGGTTTTCTTAAATAACTGGTTGTATGTACTGTACATAATACCTATTTTATATGTTAACATGTGTGATATGCCATAAAAATCTCATAGGAATTATCATGAATTATTATTTATTTAAAATTTCTTTTTCGAGAGTATTAATAATATTTATCTATGAATCTAACAAATAAAAATTGGTGTGCAAACTATCATTCAACTTTGATTTCAACTGTCTTTGAATAAAGGTCTTAGAGAAGATTCGCCTGATCAACTCATCTCTCAGCAGCAGTCTATTCTATCTGTCCTGCCAGTCAGGTTTGACTCGACACGAAACACTCCTACTGTTGGGCTGGCTGTCCACCAATCAACAGGAAACTCCCAGTTCTGCTCTCTCTGATACAACGCTGGCCATCCTCATGTCTCTTTTGTATGCTATCGACGCTAGGATACTGGACCAGGGAGATTCTGAAAGTTTGTGCATGCTGGTGGTTGTACACTGCACAGCATTTTTAATTTTAAACGCCCGTTATAAATTTTAAAAATATTTTCTACGATTTATAAGATTGTTGACTTCTGGTGGCATAGAGTGTATTATATAACATGTGTTTATTTTTTTTCATGAATTTGTGTTAATTCCTTTTGACGTTTATAAAGCCTGGATAAATGTCCTCCCGTTGTTAAATGACGAGCTCTTCATTCCCGACGTCAGCAAGGAAATCATGTCTGACAAAGTTTGGTGCGGGTGTCCTGCCATCAAGGCTGTTGTTCAGTTCGCATGGGCCTTGTCACTCCTCCAGATGTCCTCTTATATTGGTTGTTCCTTGCTTATTAAATAAATTTGTTTTTATTTTCAATTCTTTTAACCTTTGTATGAAAAAATTTTACGTACAATTAAAAGCATAAAATCCGTATATTTTTTAAAATAAATTAGAAATTGTTAATGTATTTTTTTCACAACTGAGGAATCAACGAAGTGTTTCATTGTTCTGCCAACATTAATAGCATATAAAGATTACACTGAACACGTTTTTGGTGTAAATTTACTCAAAATATTCAATTGCCATTTTGTTACAAAAATTTTTATTAAATGCTTCTAAGGGATATTATTTTTATTTTTGAATGAATGAAAAAATGCAAGAAAAAACGAGAATTTTCTTTTTAAATAGTGTTGTTTTCTAACATTCGCTCAAATAAATTTGGATATAGTGCCGCAATTCATAGTCACTCTAGAAGGTACTGTCATAGAGCTCTCACTAGATAATGCTCATCAACTAAGTCTTCTAGTTGTATTTTTTGTTTTTTTTTTAAATATGGCATGCAGTCTGATATCCATTAAGAAACACTTGCAATTTTTTCGTTACAAGTCAATTTATAATTTTTACAAATGTTGGAAACTTGGGTTTTAATTTAAATAGGGATAAATTTAATTTAAATACTATACTGCATAAATTGTTCTCCTCAGGCTTGTTTGTTTGCAACATTTTTTCCATGTACAACTGTCATCTTCACTTGCATATTTATCAGCACTTGATGAATCTTTCATTTGTAAATTTTATTCAATTTTCTCTAGTTGACTCTTATTTGTCAGTCTCTCTTTTACAAAGTTCATTCAATTTTTTTCTGTTTGCTCCCACTGTAAAATGTAAAATCAAATCTATTGCTGACATCTATTTCTAACATCCAGCTAACAAAATATGTTATCATTGTGTGTGTGTAAATGTCTAATTAAATTACCTTAACGTTTTATGAAAAATTTTAAGGAAAGTTATCAAATAAAATAAATATAACTTGTATACAAGAGATGGATGAGATTCTGCTGTTTGACATGCTGTATATGTGGCCATTGGCCACGACCAACGAAGGGCTGATTGCATTTGAAATATTTGTAATCATTAACATGTGCAATTTACAAATGTTATTCAGACGCACCAGGTTTTTGTTGCAACCCAGTGAATCTTAATCATTAAGCTCTTGAATAATAATGTACATTAACGTATCTACCTGTTCATTATCACCACGCTCAGATCTTGAAAATATGATGGATCTGATTGACGGATACATTGATTACTCAATCTCTTGTGACGTTTTTTCAACCATTAAGAACCACATTCTGACAAATGAATCTTTTTTCAAGGAGGTTTGGTTTTTTTTTTTTTTTTTTTGAAGTAATTAATTCATAAAGTTGTGCAAGGTTGGTTGTTGATATAAAATAGTAATAAAATAATTGAAATAAAGTTATGTAAATAAATGGCTAATAGAATCTACACAATTACTTTTCGAGATACTGTTTCAGTTATCATTAAAAGTGCATATTGCCGGCTGGCAAGTTTGCTCAAGTGAGAGAAGTGCCGTCTCTTGCTTTTTTGTTATTGCACGATGACCTGGTTCGAATTCTAATTTAGTAATAATTGATATGTAGGCACTTGTCAGAGTTGCATAATAAAGAAAGAAAGAAAAATAATTTGGTGCCATTCTGTACCAAGCGATGTTTAAAGCTGTCATTATAATGATTTTTATAATAGAGAATTTATTAAACCGTCTAATAAATTAACAACAGGAATATTACGTCCGAAAGATTCACAACTTGATCACAGATTTCATAATCTTATTGCCAGTCAAAGTTGGTTGCTTTCATTAACTTTGGGGCTTTTATTGCTCTATTTTTAATTATTGATTTCATAAAATAATGAATAATTAAAAATCAATATAGCTTTAATGACACTGCATTAAATTTCTTAGAGTTTGTGTCTGTATGTTTTTGTACTTTATTAAACCAATCAATGGCCCACTTATTATTATGTTAATAAGAATTTGTAGAAAGGGAAATCTGGCTATTTTTTGATTCCTTCCAATAAAATCAGAGCTAGGAAAGCTTTCGTTTTTCACCTATTTTTTTGTCTATATATCTTTGTATCTAAGTATCTATCCAGTTGCTGCTATGCCTTTCTTTTCCACTTGTAACTCCATCTGACCTAGCACACCCACCATCAAATATTCGCTGCAGATGGTGTTTATGGGAGGTGATGATGTTCATTCGGTCTGATGATTTAATCAAAACAATAATTACAACGTAGTTTAAAGCAAGTTGTCAGAGTTGGATACAAATTTTTCCAATTTTGACTGCTTGATTTAAAAATTTTCAGACTCCAGCTAAACAATTTCTCACTCCCAACTCAAACTCTGAGCTTTGACTTCCAGAAAAATGTTTCAATTTTTGCTTTCCTATTTTACTCAAATGCCACCACTTAATGAAAAACATTTAAGATGAGTCAATATAATTATTTTCTTTAGTTGTTAAGAGACAAGAGAAAACAACTGAGCACTACTATTGAGAAGCAGCACATTGACTGACGCTAATCGTTGCTAATTTTTTTATAACTGAGCTGGATGCAGTGAGTGATAGAGTTGCAAAACATATATTTAATTTATAAGACTCCTTGATAGATGTTAACGTTAAATGAATGAACGAAACGGCCAGGTGAAAGAGATGAGATCTCAGGCAGACGAGTCTTCAAGGATCATACTTGCCAGGCAACAAGAAAACCTTGACATTCCTGATAATCTTCCAAAGGATTTTCAGTGCTTCATGGAGCTGGTGCATTTTTTTTAAATTGACATTTCTTATAATTATTTTAATGAAACATTTTAAAATAAGTTTGATTTATTTATTTGCGTAGATACATGACATATACACACAAGACCCGTTGAATTTGACACTTTCCAACGAGTACTGGTGCCTGAGTGACATGATGGCAAACCAGCAACACCAGCTGTCCGCCTCATTCAATTCTTCCTTCCAAGCGTCACAACTGGTCCAGAGGCAGGTCTGCTCTACAGAACATTTCAATGTTATTTTTATGCTTACTTATTGGTAAGATTTTAAAAAGTGGTATGTCAGGGTGCCATGTTTTGCTGACCCAGCTAGTACAAAACTTGGACTACTCAAGTTTAACATACACGATTACACGTACATCTTTACATATTACGCAGGCTTTATTTGTACACAAAAATGTACAATTGTTAGACCGCTCTGTCACCGCCAAAAGCTGCGTGATGAAAGGAAAAAATTTTAGGAAACATTTTGAAGTTGATATCTTCTCGTTCATCTCTTTCAAATATAGAGTTCTAATTGACAATGCGTTTTGAAATTTTACTATTTCTCTACTTCTATTCTTTTCAAGAATTTTTGGAAGGAGACTTGCTCAGCCTCTTATTATTTGATACATCTTCCAAAAAGAACAATTAATTTTCATTTTTCGATTTGTAGAATTAAAAATAGCTAATACTTTTGTTTAAAAAACTAAACATTGCATGCTGAATTGATGTTGAATTATTTTTTAAAACTTGTAAACACATTGATTTAACCAGGTAACGTTATTTAAATTCATCCGATTGGCTGGAGACATGTTGACTCCGCCCCTTTATGTACCCTACATGAACATGCTCACTGGTCTGTCTGGCAACCAACAGTCAGCTCACTGTTGCTTCAATCTACTGAGTCTCAACGCATCAGCAACAGGTTCTTCAGGCATTTCTGATCTCTCTCTCTCTCTCTCTCTCTCTCTCTCTCTCTCTCTCTCTCTATTGTTTTTATAAATTTATTTGCTTTTTGTTATTTGATGATCGACTATCACACATGTTTATTTTCTTTACTATGATTCTGCAACCAGTATATCATATTATTCTTGTTTTAATGATCAAGCAACCAGTAAATCATATTATTCTTGTTTTAATGATCAAGCAACCAGTAAATCATATTATTCTTGTTTTAATGATCAAGCAACCAGTAAATCATATTAATCTTGTTTTAATGATCAAGCAACCAGTAAATCATATTATTCTTGTTTTAATGATCAAGCAACCAGTAAATCATATTATTCTTGTTTTAATGATCAAGCAACCAGTAAATCATATTAATCTTGTTTTAATGATCAAGCAACCAGTAACCAATATTTTATTTTTTAAAGGGTCACACTCCAGCATAGTTTCTTGGGAGCACTTTCTTATCTCTTTAAATAATTATTATACCAACCTGAGACATGAATTCACCGATGGCCACCACCCCCTCCACCAGTCAGTTTCAATGTTTCCTTACCAAAGACATGTGATAACTCAACAGGAAGTGGATGGGTTAATGGCAGTGCTTAGGCTGCTGAATATTGTGGCAAACAAGGTTGATTGATTCATTGATTCAAATGTTGTTGTGCCTCCTGTAAACAGTTCTTCATTTTGATACTCTGCAACGCGCGAAATTGAGATTGAAACGAGAATTTTTGCAAAAAAATTTGCTGCAAGTCTAATGATTTATTTTTATAAATTCTTGGTAAAAGATGGGAGTAAGTTGAATATACTAAGTAAAGCTTGCTTGGTAAAAAAAGTAAGAAAGAAAAAAATTTAAAGATGGGCTTTTGAGCTTAAATTCCATTTTAAATGAAGATATATTTATGAATGATGATTTAGTAGCGCTTTTGAGATTCAACAATAAAAAAGCGCTGTATATAAATTTCCGTAATAATAATAATAATATTTACTTGCATTCAAATTCTTGTTCTTTTCAGCATGCAATTAATTAATCTTATTGTCAGTATAATATGATAGAGCTTTTTAAAAGTGGTGTTAAACAAAGATTATGAACAGAAGTTTTTTAGGATTTAAATTAGGGGTTAGTAATATGCTCATTTTGTTTAATTAAATGAAAATGTTTGTTGATTCAAGTACATTTAGACCGGAACGAATTATTTCATGCATTTGTAACTAAGTAGACCAGCGAGGAATCTTATTTGCGGCTCTGGTGGTTAAATGTTATTACACAATATTCTAGATGAGGATAGTGAAGTTGTGTGATGAACTAGATTGGAAAATTGAACAGCTTGTTCTAATGATCGGAAGTGTTAGGCTTGGATCATGTTTGACAGTTTTATACAGAGGGACAAATCGGCTATAACGCTTTATAAAAATACTTAATTTTATTTCTAACGAGTGGATTATTTTGTTTGACAATAATTTAGGATGAATTGGCACGCATTGCACTGTTGAAGAACAACAACAAAATAATTTTGTCTGTCATCTTTGGTCTGATCGGATGTGCGGTGCCTCTTAAGTTGAAGGCTGAATTGTTGAACGTTCTGTCCTCTTTCCTGCGTTCACCTGAAGTAGCAGTAGATGTCTGGCAACTTCTTCATGAGTCGAAGGTATGTCTACTCTACAATGTTTTGTTCATTTATTATTATTATTTTATTATTATTATTAATTTATTTTTCTTATATAGTTTATATAATAATTTGTGATTGCCATTCAACATTTCATAAAGCTATTCCAGTGTGCTGGACCTGATGGCTCCATAGTTAAAAAGGGGATCATGGTAGGACTTTTATTGTTTTTAAATTCATGTTTTTTAATTCGAATGAGAATTGTGTGACTATTTTATTTAAATAAATAAATAAATTGAATGATTTATTGTTTTCCATGTGAATTAATACTTCTCTGCTTCTTGCTTTTTATTTTATTTTTTTAAATTTGTGCACTGCCCCTCCCATCCCATTTGATCCACTCCGACATTTGTTATCACCTGCCCGCATGTTGGGTGGAAGTCATCTGGCGCAACCAAAAGTGAAAGAGAAATAAAACTGCTCACAAACTGTTTACAAAAGTTTTCTAAATAATCAAGTGCACTGTTCTTAAGCAGAAAAATGAGAAAAATGAAACCCCGCTGAACTACATTGTGTTACAAAAGCAATGCTGCTCCAAAAATGCCAGCATATTCAAATTTGTGCAATCTAGAAGTCTTATAAAATCACCTTCTGAAACAGTTTTCTGATTTTTGATGCAGTGTGTCTCAAGCACATCACAAAATTCTAGGCTAGATGGTTTTTTCCCGGCATCTTCTTCATGAATTTTTGTCAAGATAATGCTGCTGGAAAATTTTAATTATTTATCATGTTATTTTAGATTGTTTAAAGTGCAGTTTTTAATGACAGCTCTTTGAATTATTAATCACAGTGCCATTTTTTCAATTTTTTTTCTACACTAAACGATGCTTTTGCCACAACTTTTGTTACTGCTTATTGTTTCAATTATTAAAACTTTTAAAATTACGCAGATTGAGTTAGATGAGAATGAACCGAAAACAGAAGAGTACACGATGACTCGGGCATTCGTTTGCTTCATCAGTGCCTTGCTTGCTCATCCTCTTCCTTCTCTCGCTACTGGAAACGTGGCAGGTTCCATTAACAACGTGCCATTGTTAGAATTCTTCAAGGATTACATCTTCCTCAAATGCAACTCAAGGTCATTCAAGCAGCCTGTAGAGAAGGTCAGTTGGTGTATTGCGTCGCTAAATTTGTGCAGCGCTTCTCGTGAATTGACTTCAGTTTTATTCGTTGTATACGTTGTCTACTTACTGTACGTTTTGATGGGGATTCTGTTCATAATGGTCATGACGTCGTAACACGCAAACTACACACACACACACACACACACACACACATACACAATCAATAATAACTTTTTGCTTAGATTTATATAAGATAATATTTTATTTTGTGTTTGTTTCATCCAATGTTAAGTTCATATTTTTAATTTTTAACACTGAATGCAATAAATACTCAATCTGTTCATTTGGTGACGATAATATAATTTAATACAATAGAATGAATATTAATAAAAACAAAATATTCATACCTTTGTACGTCTGCTCATGCCATGTATGTGTTAGATTTAAAACACAGAAATTTGAACCATGTGATTTAGTGGCAGATATTCACGAGTGTTTTAAAAGTCTTTCATGAGTTGGTTGATAGTTACGACATCAACAAGATCATCTTGAAGGGCGGCCTCACATCACTACACAACTTCCCGGCATATTCGCTGCTCCTGCACTTCTACAATGATACACAGTTTCTTAAAACGGTTGTTTTCCATTATTTCAATATTATGTGATGACAGCTTGATGCTTTTGATAACTGAATATTGATGTAAAATTTTAACCAAAGTAATGAATTCACGGAATATATGACATCTAAATTGATTTTAGAATAAGGTTCTGTTTTTTTTTTTTTTTATATAAAAAAAAATTTGTTATTCATTGCTATGATCATCATCCCTTAGAAATTAACGTACAACTTTTTGGTTTGTTGCACATTTTTTCATCAAATAAAGTTTTTGGTCAAACTCCAAATTTGGCTTGCTCGTGTTTATTCTCATCCCTTCCAACTGAGCCCGAGTTGCTTATCTCTGTCTGCTTTTCCTCTCATGTTTATGTTTTTATTAACCACATCTCTGCTTCTTTCACATTTTTTTATGTAATTTTGCATCACATTATGATTACGTAATTTCACTGTTCACCTTTGCTTCATTTCGTTTTATTTCCCACCATACCTCCTAGCATCTCTTTCATCTCCATGCATCATCGTAGTAATATCACATTGCATCTTTGGTTCTTCCGTCTTATTCTTGTGTTGTTTTGCAGCATACTATGATTTCATTTTCTGTACTTGCATTTTTATCATCTTTGTCCTTCTCCTTGCATCACATCTTCTGCTTTCTACATCCTCAAGACTATCATCTCAACCTACATAATCTAGGCACCACCCAGTTTTTGAATGGCCACTGCAAAATTAAAAAATTGTTTTAAAATTTTTAAATTTACGTCTGCAGATGCTGCTCATCATTGATGAATCTGTTCAAGTGCTGCAAAAATACATTTCAACACCGGGTGAATTTTCTGTGTTTATTTAAAATTATTGGACTTTAATGTTGTTAGGGTTAATTTTGTAAATGACTTTACAAAGCTGTTGAAGAATATGTAGAAAAATCATTTTGTAAATAATATGCATCAAATTTTTATTCAGTTATAACAAATTTTGCTAACAAGATTTTAATTTAAGAAGTTGTTTTTCACAGAACTACCCTATATTAAGTCTTCAAGTTTAATCTCACTGAAATTGATTGAGATGGCGCTGAGCAAGCAGAAGATGTTCATGGATAGCTGCATGCAGATGGGTGGCTCCAGCAATTTTGTAGGAGGGGGATTGGATAAATTGTTGATGGGTGTCAACCCGAGAACTGGAAAATCATCTCATCTCATAAATGTTGCCAAGTAAGACTTTTATTTTGTTAAATTGATCAATGATAGCTGTTTTTATTAGAAGATTCTTATCTGTTGTCGACTACACAAATCCAGTCTCTTCAGGTGGAATGGGTTCAGGATATCAGCTCATTGAGATCATATCTCTTGAGGTTCTTGAAGTGTTGAGATGAAAGTAGTGATTGCTAATGAGTTGAGTGATTACTAATGAGTTGAGTGATTACTAATGAGTTGAGTGATTACTAATGAGTTGAGTGATTGAATGAAGGATCCGACGAGATGGAAGAAAAACAAACTATTGTTATTGTTAAGTGTGAAGGGAGTTGATATGTGCGATTAGTGAATTTAGGTGTTTTATGTTCGTGGGTCTAATGGTGATCGGATTTTTTCGACACATGTAACAGTTGATCTGAACAGATAGAGCTGCAAGTGTAAAATTGTGAATTGTAAAGATTGCATATCAATGAGAAGTTACTAAATGAACTTTCTGGCTAACTTTAATTTTCTAATTCACTACTCTGCAGCTCTTATATGTGGTCTGATCTCGCTTCTGAAATGCTGCTCTGCTCTGAAACCCAATTGTTGCAGGACGTCGTTTGTTAACCTTAACGTCTCTCAATATTTTGTGATCGTGGTTGTATATTGTAGACTAATTATAAATCATTGATGAAGTAAGTTCAACTAAGTAAGTTTTAGTTGTGGAAGTTAGACATTCTAGTTGTAAAAAAACTAAAATTTTCAAACTTGATATTAGTTGGTAATAAAAACGTTCTACGATTTTGTCTTGGAAATTCCAAAAGTTTTTCTAGCTAGAAAGTTGAATATATGCATAATGTGTGCAATTTTATTAATATACTTGGTGAATTCTGTGTGGAAAGTTTGAGAACTATAAGTTTATTCAACGCTATGGTTTTTTTTTATGCAATCTTTAATTTTCTAAAATTTTTAAGATAACATAAATTGTCAGGAAGCTATTTTATCTTGAACGTGTTTTGGCTTATTTATTAGTATCGATAACAAATTTAACATGCAGGTTCATTGAATGCAGCAGTTATCTGCCCTGCCATGCATCATGTGCAATCAACATCTTCATTCAACTCATCCAATCTGTCTATGTTCAAACAAAAATTGTTGGGATATTATCTGCCAATGAGGTTATTTTATTCTTTTTTTGACGCTTCTTGTATTGATTGTCACATCTGTCTAAGGTATTAAAAGAAATATAAATTATGAGAGTTATTTGGCATTAATTTTTATTTTCTGTCGTAAAATCTAATTACTGGCAGTCACTTTTGTTTCATTAAGCTCATCAACATCTTTTCAGAGTTTTTCTACAATGTCAGAATCGTTATGATAAGTATGCAGAGTATACACACTTTGTGGCACTAATATTTTCAAGATATTGTGACAAAAAAATATAAAAATGTTTGTTGTCATCAACTTTCTTAAAGGTTTCAATAGTTGTTTGACCGGTTTATATATTCTACCAAATTATTATTCAATGATTTCAAGAAGTCTTCAGTTATCTCTAAACTCGTACTAACTTTAGGATGAAAATTATCCGCCGTGAAAATTTTATATACATTTTTTCACGCTCTAATGTTTAAAAAAAAGTATTTCAGACGTTACTTTTTATTTCAAAATATTTATATTTTTTTCTGGATTAATGAACTGGACTCTTGAATTAGGATTGTTTATCAAAACGTGGTGCTCCTCAAAATATTATTTTATATTTTTAGGTCTTTTTTATTTAAAAATTTCGATTCTATTTTCTGTTCAACTTTGGTCAATTTTTTATATCAAGTCAACTTTTCTCTTTAGCTCTACAAATAACTGCTGTGACTAGAATATTTTTTGGTTTAATTGCTCTTATGTAAAATTTTATTATGTTCTTATGGTCATGCACCGGATTATGTTCATATTACAATATGGACATATTTTTATTTGATCTCAGGATTTACTTTAATGATGTTAAATTTTGTGCTGTGTTATTATTATTTATAAAATTATTAACTATTAGGATTTTTCCAAATCACTGTTGTGTGGATTTTCTCTTTGTTTGGAGAATGAGAATTTTGAAGTAAATGATGACATTGATGAGCTCCTTGACAAAGGTGTGTGTTCGTTTCAATTTTTTCATTATTGTTCATTAGCATCATTATTCAAAAGTACAAACCGTTAGTGATTTTCTCCAAAACACATGCATCGTCGGAGACCTTTAAAATGGTCCCAAGTTTCTAAAATGTATTATTTGTACAGCTTCTCTCTATCTTTGTACAGCTCCTCTCTACTTCTCTCTATCTTTCAAGTGAGTCTGAATGGAGCCTGTTCAGTGTTCATTTCTTTTTTGAAACTTATCAAATCCAATGTGCATAACATTTACCTCAAATCAACAATTTTCCATAATGCCCTTCACAGGAGCAAGTCATCTGACCCTCCTATCTCAATCATTCTATGGCAGCGTTTCTGTTGGTCACATTTTTGGTCAAAATTTATTAAAACTATTTAAATAGTTCCTGTTTCGCCACCACACAACATATCTTTTCTGACTCATGCCATGTAAAGCCTTCACAGGTTGTAGGATAAAATACGTCACGTCACATGTTAAATGTTTAATAATATTGGATTTAATTTTCCTGGTTGGTGCAACATTGTCTGGTTGGTACAATGTCTGGTTGGTACAGTGTCTGGTTGGTACAATGTCCGGTTGGTACAATGTCTGGCTGGTAGTAAGATTATAATATAAGTCTTATAATGGCATTTATGCCATATTCACATAGCTATTATTAATTTAAAATTCAGATTTTACTTCTCCTGTTTCACAAGTTCAGCTTGGCGAATCTGTGCTGAACCTCTTAATAGGAAGTTTGAACTTGCCAGCACCCAACATGTCACATTTTTTATGTGGATTTGATACAAAGAGGCACATACACAAAACCATGCTACATGACCCAGGTATTAGCACATCTGCTTTTATATATATATATATATATATATATATGTGTGTGTGTTTATTATTTTATTTTTGGCGCCTTTTATCATCCTGTTTTTATATTTTGTTTGGAAGAAAATAAAATATTGTATTAGCTATCAATCAGGATTTAAACTATGAACAATAGTGCTTTTAGCTTTTTTAAACTTGATTTAGAGTAGAACTTCATGATGCAAGAAGGAAAAAGAACCGCAAATTATAAATTTGATTAGACATTGTCACTGTGTGATTAGAAATGTTGTTAGTAAATATTGTTGTCTACAAGAAAACTGGACTGATCCAAAATTCTGGTTGGTTAAATTTGTATTACTCAAAGCCAAAACATAAACCTTCACAGTAGAAATTAATAATTTGAAACAAGTGTCAGTCAAATGTTATAAAACTTCAATTTCGTATCATTTCACTTTCGGAACTTTGTTTGAGTTGTTCCAAATAAACCAATGGGGACCCGCGTTGCATCTGTAGTTCTCCAGTCACGTAGGAATTGCCCTATGCTGCCGGTATGTTCTTCTCCCGACGCACTCATAGAAGAAATGACCTTCGACTTCTGGCAAGTAGTGTGTGAAACCCAATGAAGCAGCCCTGAGCCTTTGTATTCTGTGCGGAGCTTTCAGTTCGTTGACGACCTCTTTCGGGGTTAACTATTGCTGTCTTCACTTCTGCCGACTTCCCACAAAATTACGACAGCTAATAGTTATCAAAACCACACTAACTTTAGTTTGTTATAATTTAGATTTTAATTTAACAATAAAACCAACGTAAATGTAATTCTACCGACGTCATCAGTACTCTACACCGACGTCCACTTGTTGACCAAACTGCGCAAGCAGACCTCTTTTTTCCCGCTCACTCTTTCTTATATATGCATGCGCATTTGTAAAGCGCATTCAGACCGGCTATTATTCATGTAGCACTTCACCTAACCTCAAATCATGACAATATATATATATATACATATATATATATATATATATATATATATAAATATCGTACAAAATATAAAAAATATATAACAAAAAATACGAGTGAGTTTAGGCAGTCTATCTTCATTTGGACGTATTTTAGTAAATAAAACATTAGTAATTATTGATACCTTCATGAAAATTAACAATTATTCAATTAATTTTGAGATGTTCACCATTTTTCAAAACTATTGGCCATACATATATAATTGTCATTGATTGGAAGTTTAAAAGCCGATGAAGTGAACGAAATTAACCCATTTTTATTCTGTTTTTTCCTAATTTTCATGTTAAGCCCACCCACTCAGCATGCTCCACGCTTCCAACAGCAGAGTTATATAACCTCCTAAAATAAATCATAAGCAATATTGTTTGTTCGTGATCTAGTGACTGAGTAATGATTGATTGAGTGAGTGAGTGAGTGAGTGAGTGAGTGAGTGAGTGAGTGAGTGAGTGAGTGAGTGGGTGAGTGAGTGAGTGAGTGAGTGAGTGAGTGAGCAAGCATTTAAGTAATTAAGTAAAATGTTTACATTATGTAATTTGATATTAGTAGTTATGAGTGAGAAAATGCTTGATACAGTTAGAGAATAAAAAGAAAAAAGAAAAAAGTGTGTTTTTTTGTGTAACTTCGATGAGCTAGCTGGAATAAACTATAACTGGTCTGATACATCAGATATAGACGAAGATAATTTTGCCGTACTGATAGCAGCTATACTTCTGCTGTCTAGCAGTTTTATTAGGTCAGGAAATATCGAACATTATAAGATCAGACTTGTATCGCATTTTTTTAAGATTTAAAAACAGCTTTCCATTACTTTTTTTTACTAGGCATTACATTTTTGTTAGTTATTAATTAACTTTTTTAGTTGTTAATTTTTCGTCAGGTATCAACAATTTTCCTCGAACCTGCATCCACTCTGTAGTCTCTATCCTCAACAGATCCATCGACCAACCGCTCAAGAAACATCGTCACATGTATCCTCGTTTTTATGAACTGGCCTACCAGTTTATACACTGCCTGTGCACAGATGTGAACACTTGCGTTCCTGTCTTGAGGTACCTCAGATCACACGATTTCTTGTACAAGCAATCCAGCAAACTGCCATTCGCTTCAGTCCCTAACTCCACTGCCAGTCAGTTTTTTAAATTATTCAGTTGCAACCCTCAAAATTTTCAGAATCTTTTATATGTTTGATTTGAGAAATCTGTTTTTATTAACATTCGTCGCGTGCAGTCTTTCTTTTTAATTTCCACTCTTCCGTAATTGTTATAAGAGGAATTCGTTTATGTTCCACTTTATTTATACGTTATCAGCTCACTTACTATATACGTTATCAGCTTACTACAATATACTTATGAAATTAACAAATGTGATTTTAAAAATTTTTTAAAAGTCTAAATTTTTACAAACGAATTACAGAAGCGTCGGCATCATTATCTTCGTCACTGCTGGCCCAGCAGTCCTGGTTGTTGAGCAGTCTTGTTGTTGATTTGAAGGTTTCTGCCGACAACAAACAAAGATCATATGTTCAAAGAGTTATTGAGCTGTTACTGGGAGTCGATGTAAAGTCTTCCTCCAAGATGTTCTTGTCGGATGTCTGCTCTACTGGTTAGTTATATTTAAAAAATTTTCTTTTTTTTCTAACGGACTTCATGTTTTCATTCTGTTACTTTATGCTCATTTTGAAAAATATCAAATTTCTTAATGTAAATTGTTTTTTTAATAAAATAATCTTGCTTAAAAATGATTATGTTGACGCATGCATGATTTCTTGCAGAACAAAAAGACGAAAACAAGTTGCAACTGCTGTTGTCAACCATATCCTTATCGTCGGATCCTCCGCCCCCCATCAGCCACCTCAATGTTTTCAATCCTTCTCAAGTACAACAAATCTCATCGATGTGTGAGGTTCTCTCCAGCAATAATCTAACATTCTGTGATGTGAAGACCGTGTACAGGATACTCATTGAGGAATGCTCTGGCTTGACCGGGCCGTTGTTTTCAAGAAGAGAGAAGGCACTTGAGGTTGATCATAATTAAAATCTTAATTTTATCAAATAACGTAAGTAAGGATAGGTCGTGGTTGTTGAAGTTGATGACAGCCATTCAACTAGCAACTAGCAAGTGACCAAATCTGTACTGTTAACCTGCAGAACTTGGCCTAACACAACTTTCTTATTGCAAAATGAGTTGATGAAATGAGAAAGCTGAATTGAAATTTTTCACTTTTTACAAAACCCAACTGTATGGCTAGAGTGTTTGTTAATGAGTGCTGAAAATCTATGCTTCGTTTGCACTTTCTTTTCTGTTGAAACTCATTATTTTCAAGTTAAATAATATCTGATTGTATATTGATTTTATATCTTATTAAAAATTAAACATTGATGAGAAGATAAAATCGTGATGACTTGTTCATGTTTTTTAAGAGGAGAAAATCTTCATGAAAATCTCTGTAAAAAACACCATAATAAATTTTCAAATAATACGTTGTCGGAAGAACATTAATAATATCTTGTCAAAATATTGAATGATGTTCATTAATTTATATTCTGGCAGGAGATAAATAATATATGCTCGAATATTATGCAACAAAATGCGCACAAACGTAGCGTGCATGCCAACAAGCAAGCATTTCTTGCTTGGAGACAGGCAGTGGAGGTCATATTAACGGTCGTGCCTCTGCAACAGTTTGCCGGTGAGAAGAGACTTCAAGTTATATTGGACTTGTTGCAGTCATTGTTGCACAAGGTTTGTTCTTTCTATTTTATATCCCATTTTCATGCGTAACTAAATTAATCTTATTGCAGTTAACCATTTTTTTACTATTATTAGCATTTTTAATGCACTGTTTAGCTGATGCCTGATCTGAACAGCATCGTGTCGCATCAGGCCTCGTACGTCATCCTCATACTCGTCGACAACCTGGCACGCTGTTTTATCTTGGATCAGTCAGCCAACCAGTCATTTCATTCTCACGGTTGTAATTTATTTTATATTTTATGAAGAGGCTGTTTTTAGGGAAAGAATCTTAGCGCGCGCATCTGTGGCAAAAGGCGTTCGTGAGGACTTGAATGGGCGCTGTATATAAACTCTACATATAATAATAATATAGCTTTTTTATTGTAAGTTGTTTTGTTTTCTCACATTCGATTTTTACTCAGCTTATAAGTAGATGAAAAAGAACTTTCCTTCATGTTTAAATTAGTTTTTCGTAGCGCTGAAGGTGTTTAATAATCTTTTTCATCTGACAACAATATCGGAAGATAAGTTATTTCATTTTTGCCCAATTTTCATAAAAAATTTTGTTTGGCATTCAGGCTCATCTTTGCAGCAAGATATTTCTGTGGTGAGAGGAAGAGCAAATGAAGTTGTTGGCATGCGATCAGCTTTTTCAACTCTGCTGCAAACTGTTCTTGATGGACTGATAAGATATCTCCTTGGATCAGGTGGTTGGTCTGAGTATGTTTTACTATCTGCTTATATCTACCAACCTCATGCTGTTTCTGCATTGTTGGTCATTTGCTGTGCTCATATCACCATGCTACTTTTGAATGCATCTATAGTTTGGTTATTTTTAAACAAATATATTTTATTGTTTGTAAAATATTATTTAAATCGTTTTTTAATTTTATTTAATAACAATCAAATCCAGAAGTCCATAGGGCTTGCAACTCTTATTATTTATATCAAGATTGAATTATATTTTCAGAAAATGCTTAGTTAAATTGAATAATCATTTTACCATATCTGTATCGTAATTGTTAACTCAGAGTAGATCTTCTAAGGTGCTCTGTGAGTTTGTTGCTGATGCCTTCAATGATATACTCAAGAGAGAATTGTAAAAAAAAATATATATAATAAATGTAATAATTTATAAATAAAATAAATAATAAATATAACCCAATAAATTTTTGGACTCAATCTCGGTGTGTATGACCAGATTATATTTTAGCTCTTTGACAAGACCAAATTCTAATATTTGCAATTTTTAAATCTCCATACACACTTTAGTTTCTAGAAGGCATATACTGACGAACGTTGTACTTATCATATTTGCAGGATCTAATGGCCAAAGATTGCGAGTACATCTCTATGCTTCTTTGTTGTACTTCTTGGAAATTGCCGACAAACCACAAGAGTTCCAACGTAAGAGTTGTCAGTTTTTGGGTTGATTGTGTGTTCTTGGTCTGGAAGAGCGTGATGATGTGATGTGCAAAAAGTTCCTTTCATATTGCCCTGTTGATAATTTATTTTATAAAATCTTTTTGTTTAATATTAATTAACGGAAAATGAAAATAAAATGGCAATATACGCTTCAATATATGCTTAAAACGTATAACTAATAATGTAAGGTATGTATGTATGTATGTATATATATAGTATGTATGTTTATATATATATATATATATATATATATATATATATATATATATATATATATATATATACGTTTTATATTGTTATATTGCATTAATAAATTCAGACGGAATTGATCAAGGTGTACAAAGGTTTCTATCTCCAAAAGAAAATGAATACGACAAATTATCGAGTGACAACTTAAGCACCATAAAAAAATATTCAGAGCCGTTGTTGTCTTGTTTGTGTCGGGATATTTGTGATGGGCACGATGTTACGAAGGTTTGTGACAGTGGCAATGGCAATTTTTTTTATATAAAACCAAATCATTGCATTTTTAGCTGATAAATAGATTGGTTTTTACATAGTTGAGTCAACCAAGTAATACTTTATTCATTATTGAAAGAAACAACTTTTAAAATTCACTCACGGCTTTTTAAAGGGTTTTAACATTAAAAATTAGTCATTCTTTCGTTTTTAAATAAAAACATAATACAGAGTTCTATAAATAAGAACATGATTTATTTGATGATTATCTTGCTTGACATTCATCTATACTAAGATTGTTATTATATGAGCTACTGTTGGTTTTGTTTCCCAACAATAACGTTCAGCTTTCCTTGAGTACTTGCTTCTTTTTATGTTTTTATCTAAGGTTTTAGTTTAGCATACCTTCTTATAATTTTAATATATACATAGGTTAATTTAAACATGTGTTAATATATGCATGCTTATATGTATATATATTAGGGTGGAGTGAAAAATTTTTTTTTCGAAATTTCAAATGCCTGTGTTGTCAAAAGATGTCTTTTAGGTCAATTAATAAATCACTAAAATTTAAACCACTTTTGTATACGTCTTGAGGTTCCTCTAGGCTCCTTTAGATTTTCACTATTAACACAAGTAAAGTCTCGACTATTAACGTATAAAAATGGTCGATTCTGCTCAAAAATACTACACAGTACACAACATCTCCTAAAATTCTTGATTATGCTTAGCAACAATGAAAACTAATATATAAATCTGAAACAATTCAATTTCATTTGTATGCACATCTCTAATTTTTGCTAGATTCCTTTTCGCAGTTACCATTGACGACCAAACTGATTTTATACTTTTTTTTCAAATATAAAATGCCTAAAACACGTAAAGAATTATTTTGTGAAGTTTTTGGTTTACCTACTGATT